AAAACGGAAAAGGTAAGAGTCAAAATACCCGAAACATTTTTTGTTTTTCGTTTTTGATGGCCTGTTTCCGAGCTTGACAGCTTTGGCAAAACATTTGTTTTTCATCTTCTTTGAGCGAGCTTATTATCGTTGCCCATTTTTCACAGTTTGTCGTTTTCTTACCCTGCACAACAGATTGAAATGGTATATTCAATAAAACCCAAAGAAAACAAATTGCTTTTACCTGTGAAATGTAATATATGATAAATCTTTTCAATCGAATAATTAAAGTACCATTAGAAGAGGCTACTACTTTAAACATATTTACGTAGCCATTACAAGAATGAATTGCACAATTATAAAGAAGCGATAAACTTGGACATCAGTTGTAAATTTACAAGCAACTAATTTTAATCCATTTGGCAAGGAAGTGCCAACAAGATGACCATTTACATTTTGCCACAATTCGGTTCTTGGCTATATAGTTAGGTATGCTTGGTGTTTTTACTGTGCGCGTGTAACGCAAAAGTAATTAAAATTCAGATTTATGACAAAGACTTAACAAAGTTATTACGGCAGCTGCCTGCAAATGACAGACACAGCCACGCAGAGGCGAAAAATCTGACGAATATTAAGTATTACATGCCTGACAGAGACAGCCACACAACCACTTAACTTGTCATTGCCACTTTCCCTCACAGAAGGTATACCAAATCTGATGCCTTTTTGAGGCGATTGGCGAATGAATACTCATGCTGACAAGAGAAGCTTTGATCAAAAGTCTCAAGTAGTATTTGCTTAACTAACAACTGAAACGTTTTCTAAATATATTTAATATATATATCTCTAAATATATTAAGTTATTTGTCAAGAGATCTTCATTACCTTTAAGTAAGAGTACTTATAGTTCGTTAGTCGTAGTTGTGAAAGCTTCTATCCTTTTCTGCTTTAAAAACATTATGTGCTCATTATGCGCGTGTCTGGGTCTGCACTTACTCTCAGTATATGACACAATTACTTAGCACACGTCACAGGTTTTTCACTCTTGTTAATGACACCCAAAACAACACTTCCACACACACGCACACACACACACACATACTCACACAGTGTCGCGAACATCTCATGTGCGTCTTGCTTTGTTTTATTTTTAATATAAAATTTGCATTGTTTTTGTGTAGGGCGAGATGAATGTGGGTCAAGAGCGTTGAATGCCACACAAAAGTGGCAACACATGACCAAGGGTTGTAGTTCTCGTTGCCGCATTGTTGCCCAGTAAGCACTCTCTCAATAATACCAATAATCATCACTCCGAAGAGCAGCAGACGTTGTTGAAAAATTGAGTGAAAATCGCTGCATATATGCACAAAAATATACACAAACACTCGCTCACACACAGGTCGTATGATTGATTACCTTTGCGCATTGGGAAATCACTGATGGAATCCGAAAAATAAGTTTTTGCCAGGTCAGCAGAGCCATCAGTTTATTTTATCTGATTTCAAAATCCAATGGATGTCAGGGATCAGAGATGAAGACAAAGTTGTCGAATAGGTAAAAGTAATCCACAGAACAAGCTAGCAGCTAGTGATGATGGATTAAAAGTAACACAAAAAAGTGGTAGAATTCTGGCTAATATACAATAATATCTTCTGCTGTATTCAAAGTACACCGTATACCTCTTGGTTATTGATGGTCAATTATGTGTAACATAGGTAAATAACACATCTAACTAGTTAAGCACTCAGTGAAAGAAAGGAAACCATAACTTTTTCAAAACCAAGGTTAAGCTGCTCTTAATTTTTGAACCACAATACTAGCTCGAGATTCATGTTAAAATGATATAAAAAACAAAAACATGAAAACTGTTTTTAGCCAAATTTTCAAATGGAATTCATTCAGAAATATTACCATTAAAAAATCCCCTTGAGGATGTTCCAGATTGTACACCGCTATGACTTACTCAACTCTGATGCGATTGAATCATTGCTGAGCATGATTTGGCTTTTAGAATAGAGTTTATAACTTTGTCACTTCTACTATATAATAAGAATTTCATAAATAGTAAAACATTCTTATAACCCATAACCCTTTTGCCAAGTTTTAAGGCTACAGGGAATTAAAAGGTAATTCGCCAAAGTCGTGCCAAACTTTAACTATTTATTTATAATTAAGTCAAGCTTAAACTTTTCAATATCATGCTCTAATACGTTTTTAATTTAAAGTTGAAATGTAATAAAATTCGCCACTGACAAGTGCCGAACATGACTAACAACAACGTCATGCTACCGTGTCTGAGCATGTCGAGCCCAAAAACTTTGCCAGGATAGTCAGACAATCAGGCCTAGACATCGATTGGCCGGGGAGCGTTTCACATGCAATTTGCTTACCAAACATCGAGTTAGATGCCAGTTCGTGCCTCTGGCCACAGGTACAACTGCGTTAGGTACAAAGTCAACCCGGCTACAATATACAAACTCAATTTATATGCACCAGCCACCAGCCAACAGAAGGCGGCAGGACATCTGAGCAGAGCTGAACAGAGCTAAGTACATGTGCCTGCTCCGCTTTTAGGCAACGTTAGCTGGCCTGGGCCATGTGATTTGACAGGACACGCTCAGTACGTGAGCGAATGGAGAACATGTGTTATATTGCCCGAAGCGTGACAGGCACGAAAATGCTACTACTTCTGCCAGAAAGTTTTCATAATCAGTTTCGCCTCAATTTCTATGGTAATTTACCAACTTTATTTTTGAATCACAGATTTGCTTATTATTTAATCAGAGTTTCACAACATTAAAGTGCTTATGCAATCTATCAATTTTAGTTCTTTATTTAAACTACAAAAAGTATTCGTTGACGATGTTTTAGTAACTTTTTGAGTTAAGTGAAAGTCATGCATATACAGGTAGCAAAATACACACGATGCTCTTCATTTTGCTACTGGCCCATTTTCTGCCTCCTGCAACTTGGCTCGTTAATGTCACAGTAAGGCCTTAAGGCTGGCAGTTTCGAGCTATTTGCACGTCTTGAGCTTATTTTAAATATTTGATAAATAAACAAAAATGCAGCACGACCGACGCGGCACGTGACCCAAACCCCAGTCACGTTGCTTAAGCGGCGTATGTGTTATTTTATAGCATTTCCTGGACAAGGCTCAACCACAATTAGTTGAACAAGCAAAAATACACACGAATGAAATATGATCTCAGCAGCAGCAGCAGCAGCAGCCACCGAAGCCAATTTCACTTGAACGCCTAATTGCGTTGAATGTTTGACCTGGTCTTCAAGGAGCAGGGCACCAGCGAGTCTTGCCAAATGAAATATATGTACATTGTACAGTTAAACGAAGTCCCAACAGGAAGCGTAAAGCGTAATCAGAAAATTTCAAATAAGAATTTTTTAGCATTTGCATAAGCACGCAGTGCAGAAAAAAAAGCAGAGGGAAAAATAAATAAGAAAAAATAACGGGCAACTGCATTACATAACTTGCCTTGCAGTTGAGGTAAGCACAGAACTGATTCTCATCTTAAGGGGGGCAATATGAATATTGTATGAATGCTAAATACATTTGTACGAAACGAAACGAATGCATGAATAACGACACAAATATCTGTTCTTGAATTATTAGCCAGATTGTGCCATAAGGAGAATAATAAACACAGCCATAAAATAAAGTTTTCCAAATGCATGTCACATATTATATACAAAACAAAAAAAAATTCTTAAGCCATAAATCATACAAATGAAGTGCAGCTTTCTGGAGATTGCAAAGAATTTAATATTTCTGTTTGAAACGAATAGTGAAATTTGAAAAATTTAACTCTCCTACAAAAGCCTCATTTAGATGACCCATTTATCTTGCGCTTAGCAGAATTTCTTTTGAGCATTATACAATTAATTGCTAATTACGTTGGATGACGCTGCAAAAAATCAGCTCATTTTTTATTAACAACTTTATGGAGCACGTAGTTGTGAGTTGGCCAAAATGATGGCCACATTCACATACATTCGTAGCTGAACATTACAAATGAAGCTTAATTCTGTTTCAGACTTTTTGCGGTTGCCTCATGCATTTAATATGCAATCAGCATGCAGCAGAGTGCTGGATTTTTACTCTCGTTTTTCCCGCTGGCTAACCGCAGTGGACATATTGCGTATACGTAATGTGATTAGTCTGACCATCATGGGAGCTGCCGCACGAGTATTTTGACAGGCTCCATTTAGTTGCGAGCTTGTGAACAGCGTTTGGGGAACATTTCGCTCTGATGTCGATTATTTCACATGCAAGCAAATGGAATATTTACAACCATCACAGATTTTACATAGAGAATTCAGGTCAGGGGGTTTGTAAATTGACTCCATTGGGAATGTAAATGTGTAGATTATTTTGTTAATACGAAATTGTGTCCAATGACAGATGAAAGTGATCAGTTGTAAATTGACTTGTGTCCTATTTAAAGTACATATATCAGCTATAAAAATCAATGTTTGACTCTCTGAACTGTTAAGGCCATCAGTACAAGTATTATGACTATCTAAACTATCGATATGGTCTATCTTTAAATAGTTCGGCAGTTTGACTGCCAATCTTAATTCTCGAATCGTTACAAAAAAAACATGTCACATTTTTTCAACCATTGCAGCTTGATACGTGATAGTCAATATTTGCTGTGTAACTAAAACTTGTGTGACCCAAAAGGCAATAACTAGTTCTAGTTTGACGCCACATGAACAAGAGTTAATTAAAACTACATAGTTTGAAATTGTTTTATATGTACATAGTTTAGTGTAAAGTTTCAATTGAAAAGAATAGAAAAAATCCTAGTTTTGTACTTAATACGGTCAACAGAAAGCACTTAAAATGGCGGAAGAGTGCACAAAACTTTGCTATTAACTAATTTATTTAGTTTTGGGGTGTTGGACAAGTGGCCACTTAGGACAAGTTCAACAGCTACAGCAATTAACACTCACCCTCTCTCTTTCTCTCTCTCTTTTTTCGTTCTATTTCACTCTCGCAGAGCTGTGCCATGCCGCGCTGAAGATCCAGTCGACTTTCCGTGGTCATTTGGCACGCAAGCTGGTCAACAAGGACGAGCCCGAGGATGAGGACATTCAGGAGATAACCAAAAAGGTGGCCGAGGAACTGGACATTGATCTGACCGATCCGGAGCTGAACAAGGCTGCCACCAAAATTCAAGCTTCATTCCGTGGCCACAAGACACGCAAAGATACCACTAACGAATAAGCTGAGCAAGGCGCAGTCTTTTTGAATTTGTTGCTGTCGACTGTCCGCAGAGCAGTCAACAAAATAAAAATTTATTAAATAAACAAAACAATACAAAACAAGAAGAAATTGGTAAAATGTAACTGTGCAAAGCCTAGGAAGATGCTTGCACTAAACTTTTTAGTAAATATGTTAATAAATGAAAATGATATTTATGAGCGGAGCAAAATTGTCATTGTAATAATATATATATATTAATTCATTAATTTTTAAGCAATAATTAACTTGATAAAATGGCAATTATTATACCGAACCTTTGAGTTCATCTCAGTTCAGATAATTTTGAAGAAAAAAAAACGCTTTAAAGATCTTAGAATAAATACTATGTCGTCTTAATTTAGAGAATGAATATCTGTTGGATTTGTTGTATGAAATGATTTGCTAGAGTTTCTGCATAAATTTCATTAAAAATAAAAAGTAAGCCCGACCCGAGCCAATTACTAGCTAAAAATAAAGCCTTATCTTTCTCCCACATTTTGATTGATGAACAAAATTGATATACTTTTTCTTTTCTTTCAATAAAGAATTATTGAATTATGCAATAAATGCAAAATAAATTCGTTAACGCTTTTTAACATAATCTTCATAGTTTGCATAATACAAATTGCTTATACAATTGCTAGAAATTTAAATTATTCATTAATTCAATAAATTTAATTTTCTATTAAATTTGCTTATAATAAACCCAAACTTAATAACTTAAAACCTAAAACTAATGGCAAAGCAGTGTTAAAAAGCAATTTGCAAAGCATATTACAGAGGCACGATGTTCCAAAATTGATTGTAGGGCAAAACAATGAAGACAAACCCATGAAAAATGCTGAAACATTTTTAAAACTTAACCGGTTTGTCTGGCCAAAGCCAAAAATCCAAACCAAATGCAGTGTATTGTTGTACCTACATAGGAAAACAAAAAAATATAAAATAAATAAAATATAAATAATACAAATAAAGAACATAATTTTTAACTGATACTCAATGTTAAATAAATTGAATAAGCCGACAAGGCACATTAGGGGTACTCAAGCAACTACAGCTACGAAACGTCAACAAATTTTTTCAGCGAGCTACTTAAACTGATAAACAAGAACTCAAAACTAATCTGGTGGCACAATTTTATGTTTTTCTACCAAGTGTACTACAAGTTTGTCTACTTGAAAATATATATTATCAAAAAACCAAATGAAAAGAACAAAAAAAATAATATATATATATATATACGTACAAGTATTATAGAAAATTGAAAAAAAAAAAAAATAAAATAAAAATTCGCATAACACAAACTAAAAACTTAATTTAAAATGCTAGCGAAATTGCAGCAAGGAAAATTGTTACGAAAGCAACTACAAAAAAACTGTTTAAAATTCAAATTAATTACTACTAAATTAAAATAAAAATAAAAAATAATGAAGAGCATTAAAATTATATTAGAGATCAAAGTAAAATTATACTAAAATGCATAACAACTACATTAAACCAAAGTAAATAGCAATAAGTGACAAAAATATTAATGAGAATAAATGTGAACAAAAGAAAGCATATACATAATACATCCAAAACCACAAAAAAAAAAACCAAATGTCCCAACTAAATTTTAATTGAGTAATAAAAATAAATAAAACTTGAGAAAATGCAAAAAAAAAAGGAAGAAGAGTTGTTCTTTATTCCAAACCGCATATTATATTTTTTCCCAGAACTACAACTTTACCCAACTGACAGCCGCACAATGGCAGTACTTATTTTAGACCTCTGAAAGTAGAAGCCATACCTCAGCGCTTCCGTGCACATGGCCAACATTTAACGATTTTTTACTGGGTTGCTTGAGCTCCTCCGCCTCCTGCTCGCCCTCCACCCGTGGACCGAGAAGTGGTGTCACTCTTCTCGTCCACGACAACTCGACTCAAGGTCGTTTGTTGCAGTTGACATTTGCATTGAAAACAGCAGTGTGAATTTTATAAATAAGAAAATCAACCAATCAGTCCAACAAACATTTCTACAGTTGCATTGAAATGCTACAAATATGGTAAAATTGGTTCGTAAATGGATTAAAAAGTTAAAAGTGCCATTAGTTGCTTCTTTCGTAATTTGATTGATGGCACATATGACACAGCCTGACACTGCTAAGTGCGATGTTGCAACAGTGTTGGAGGCAACACAAGTGTCATCCTTCATCAGCAAGAAGACACAGCCATAAGATGGACGAGGATAGATAGCAACTACAGGTTGTTATGGGAACTTCGCGGACACTTTTGGCACCAGCTTGCCTCACGTTAATGACGTTGACGATGATGTCGATGCTGATGATGATGATTATGTTGCTCGTAGTAACGGTGGAATGAAGTTTTAAACAGCATAATGAGAATGACAGCAATGTCAGAGCTTGACCTACAAAAAAAAAAAAAAAACGCAGCTGCTGTGTACATTTTGTGGAAATAACTTTCTGAAAGGAACAAGCAACTGAGACAGACGTCAAAGTGAAGGCGCTTTAAGAAAATTGCTTGGCCCTTAGCCATAACTGCAACTTTCTTAAATATTTCAGTTTCGAGCGAACAAAGCGGCTCCAGGGATGCAATAAAAATAAAAATAAATGTGAAAAGAAAATAAAATAAAAAAAAAAACCCATACCCACTGTGAGTAAGTACAGTCAAAATTGGACAAGTGCCACATGACGTAGGTGTGACTGACAAATTGAACTTGCCAAATTCGAAGCAAATAAACAGAGAGAGAGTGAGAGAGAGGGAGAGGCAGAGAAAAAACGAGAAAGAGAGGTAAGTAATAGCAATTTGCATGCCATTGCAATTGCATGTCAATTTGAATTCCCAGCACACCTATATGCACCAGGGGCATAAGGACGATTGCATACCGAGAACGGGGCACCGAGGACTTAGTAAAGCTCTTTGAAGCTGAGCGCGTTTGGCATTCAGTAAAGTCTTATTTTTTTTTCTGCTGACTTTTTCACGGCTCACAAATATTTCAACGGTAAATTTATGCGCTTCCGTCTCCACGTGAAAAAAGCGAACCAAACAAAACAAACCGGGGGAAAAAAAGTGTAAGCTATCTACTATCTGGGCATGGGTTGACTGTGTGCAGCATGGCGTATGCGCAATTTATGAGGCTCTAAAAACAAAGCGCTGTATAAGTGCTCATAGCATACAAAACTGCCACGACGCCGACAACTTAGTGATCAATGCATTTCCGTTCACATTCGCTTAGAACCCTCCAAATGTTTACACTAATAGCTGCTGACTCTATTATTCCATTTTGATTACAGAAAAACACTTTAAATGTTTATTGGAGTATAAAACAATCAAAAGATATGTTTTCTATAAAAAGATACTCACAATAGTTCTTTAGTGATGATTTTTCCTATAGTTACATCCTGCTGGTAACATAATTCCCTTTATTAGCTATTTAGCACTTTAAATGGCATTGCGTGCATGGCTAAACCAATGTCATTCATGGTTCTTGTATTCCTCTGCCTTACAGCCGCAGCACTCAACATTTATCGCACATTTACAGTTGCAACACACATCAACTTTCAATTTCTAAAACCTCGCTGGAAGTAGGGGGTGGAGGAGGATTGAGGGGATGGTGGAGTGAACGGAAGGCAAATGAAATCCGTGCCAAATAAGCAACAGCATACAATCAAAAGAGCCGCACGCCGACTGCTGCTGCTTTACCATCTGCTGCTGCTTTTCACACCTTTTGTGTGGATTTCAACCGCAAAATATGCCAACCGACACGAACACACGCACACACTCACACTCACACTCACACACACACTTACATACACACACACACAGGCAGGCTCACAAGGACACCATTTTTGAGCGAAGTACGCGCTTAACTGTAAACTGCGCACTTGAGCGCATTACAAATGTTAAATGCTACAAGTGTTGATATTGCGAATTTCTCATCAATACCATTAAGCGAAGCAAGTACTCAACAGTCTCATAAGTAGGATGAATTTCCAATTTTTCAAAGCTCACCAAGTATAATTGAGTGAGAAAGAGTAAGCCTTAAGTTTTTACGGCATTTGCCTAGTGAGCCTAGTCGTGTTTGTGTCGAAACTGTTTTGGGGAATGCGCCAAAGTGATTATGATAGTGAGAACTGCAATTGGAAGGCTCGCTGCAATTGCCATTCAACTTTATTTGTTTTGGCTGCCCTGGACGACAGCTGTCCGGTATCTGTCGTTTTGTTAGTGGTGTTCGTGGTAGCTCACTTGATACTGCCACACTGCCAGCGGCTAGCGTGGCGTATACGTAATTTGTTGGACAACTGCCATGACACTTCCTCTCGCAAGCAATCCGCCTGCTTCCGCCCAGTTTTGTTCATTTTGTCGATCGTTTGAGAATTGTGCCCTTGGCTAAATTAAATAAGAACAAACATTTCGAGCATTTGGATTTAGTTTTACTTATTTCTTTTTTCTTATTTTTTATTATTATTGTGTCTTAGTCAAGTTATAACCCTTAAGCTGGCTGACGTTTGGACATTTATTGTCGTAGTATTTGTAAGCTAAGCTGGCATCGCCGACAGTTTGCAACAAATTTGTTTGTGTCTTTTGACAAGTTAAGATCTTAAGCATTCGAGCTTTCAAGACAATAAAATATAACCCACATTTTTTAAACATAGCATTATATGTATTCTCACCTAAAGAGTATTTTTTTCATTTATTGCTGCTGAGTCCCAGTCAATTTTCGCTCTTTGTTCCACCTTTGTTTTGGCTAACATTCCTTCTTTAGATTAAATCGCTTCTGGTTTTATCGTTCACTCTTTTTCTGAGTTTCCTGGCGCATAACTGTCTCCTTTGTGTGCTCAGCAAACCTGGCAGGCATGTTGACTACTCTTCGTTTGTTATACCAAATGCAATTGTATCGAACTTGACGCTCTTTTCGTTTGCTCGAACCACTTCTGGCCAGTTTGTGCTGTTGAGTTAACTAAAATATTTTCGACTTGAGGGCACATTTTTTAAGCTGACCACAGTATTGATTATCAAATGATTGGCTTTTGACCAGAATGAACAGAAGAACTAAGTTTATAAAATAAACTAGTTTTCTCGATAAGAGTGGTATTAGAACTGAAGTTCAACTATAACAGACTTAATATTCATGCGATATAGCTATAGATATAGTTATGGCCTATATAATTAGGCAAACGAATAATAGGTTTAATCAACTGTTTCCTACCACTACAAACTGACCTTACTGACCTCACTACTTTGAGAGACCAACTTTTGGGCCACCGTAACCACGTCATAGTAATCATAATAAATGTGATTTAATTTAGCCACCCAATGAATACGATATGTGTCGCCACCAGTCTCAGTTGGACTATCATTAAAATATTTGGCTAGCAAACAGCAATTGTGCCACTTTGTCGACATGTTGAGGGTCAATTGAGTTTGACTGGTGGTGCGACAATAATTACAGTTACTTTTTACTTGCCGCTATTGCGCCACGCTCTATTATACAATTTGCACTTGACTGGAAGGAAGTATTTAGATAATATGTTGGAGCTGTCAGAGGTACTGAGATGGTAGTTGCCAGAGTTGCCACTCAACTTCAGGCTCTATTTATAAATATCGAACATGTCGAACACTGTATTGTCCCTAACCAAGGATAAATGGCAAGGTCAAAACCGAAGAATTCGCTCGGTGCTGACAAGCGGCTAACATTTATATTTTTAGGTTTTCGTTTTTATTAACCCCACAGAGAACATCATTTGATATATTGTGTGTGTAATGCGTACAATGAAAACTCTTTGGCATTTTTGCTGGCTTCACAAAATGGCATTTAATTTTTCATGTTTCTTGTCCGATTTGTTGGGCTTTCTGTCTTCTTTTTCGCATTTATATTCTTTGTCTTTAAATGTTATAAATGAGAGTTGTGCCGCATTGCTTTGTTGTGTGGCTTAACCCAAAAAATTAGTTGTCATTCTGCTTAATAGTCGACTCGCACCTTTTTTTCTACTGTTATTAATGCGTTTTTTGTGTTTATTATATTTTATTAACATCATCATTTTGTAGCGGATGTGATTATGAGCCCAAATAATATTTTATACATTTTTTTGCAGAGCTATTCCACTCCTTACCATTGGGACATTTGTCCCTGAAACTGTTATGTATTATAATTAAAACGATGAACAAAGCCAACTCGAAAAGTTTCATTTTTAGTTATAAACTGTGATTTTACCAAACTCGCAATTTATAATAATAACAATATTAATAATAATAATATATTGATTGGATATGCTTTGAGTATATCTAATTACACAATTTCACGTATCAAACACTGATAATATATTTTAAAGGCAATTTCACTTTTCAATTTCACCCAAACGAAATGCCTCATAACTTAATCTTTAAGGTTTCGATTTCGCGCGTGGAATAATGGCAGGAACAAATCTTACGACTGACTGCGATTTTTCAGCAGAACACCTGCGGCAAAAATAAATAAAAATGAAAGAGAGAAAAATCTCAACAAGGGTAAGAGCAACAGCAGCTTGCAAGTGAAACATGTGGAATCAAATGTTCTTACAGCATAATGAAAAAGTGTACACAGCGCGTATACTCAATGTTTTCATGTTTGCATGAGTGGGTTGTGAACACGACCGCACCATCCCCACCACTTACATACATACTTACGTACATACACAAAAGTGTGGGCTGTCATAATTATTCGTTTGAACAAATCTATCCTCTGGCGGATCTTGAATACTCTTGCGAGCATTAATCTGATATTAAATCGGTAAACAAACTTCCAGTTATGGCAGTTGATTGTCAGTTGACAACGTTGTATGTCAAACTTTGTGTGAGTCACGAATAAAACGAAGTAGCTGCTGACTTGATGTCTACAACTAACCCTTAAAGAATTTTCAATAATTCACATCTTCAAAATGCCCAACTATACAACGTTCAGAGCCTGGAGAGCTACTCGATTCCTGACGGTGACAATCCATTGCCTGTTGACGATCGCATATCTCTGGGCATTGCTGCACGCATCGGCAATGGTGCCAGTTGTCAATAAGCGATCAGATTGGTTCTTCTGGCATCAGTTTTGGATAAAATACTCTTCGCTACTCCCCTACGATGTGCCCACACAATCGTATGTGATTTTGGTGATGTGTCTGCTACTATTTCGGATCTATCAATGCAGTCGCTGCAACTTCTGCAGTCCAGTTAATACATTCGATGCACGCTATAAATATCGGATACCATTCAATAGCTTCCTGGTACTGTTCTTTGGTCCATACCTGCTGCTCTTCATCGTGTGCTGGCTTAGCAGCTGTCTTTCGATCGTCAATAATCTGACGAACATGGATATGGCTATATTGACGGAAGTGAAACATTTGATCTACTGCAAGTTGGTAATGGCGTTGTTGTTTAAGCTGCTTGTTGTGGCCAATGCACTTAATCGATGTATTCACTGTTGCATCATTATCAGGCTGTTCTCCGAGGAGAAGCACAAAGAGTTGCGCAATCCTCACAATCTTGGCGATTATATTATTTTATTTTTTTATAACTAATATGCAAATGAAAACCATTACATCTACACCAGGCTAATCAAAAGGGTGTCATCTAATCATCTTATTAGTATTTGCTCTATTTGGTGTTGCGTTAATGAATGCAATGAACAATGGTCGTTTTCAGAAAAGCACAGCAATATCTTGGTAATTTAATATTTAAATGACAATATTCAGTGCGACGACAATTCTTAATAATTCTTTGTTTACGCCTTGGGGTTGCTTGGCAACATTTGAATGCCACAGACTGAATGGATATGACCAGCCTCGGCAAAAGTCAATTTGCATAATTTTCGTGTTTTCATTCAGACGATGTCGACCGCAGCACATCGAGCCCAAACAAAAACAAAAGAGTCAGTCAGCTGCAGTTGATAATGCGTTAGTTGGGAATGCGTAGCAGAAGCAGGAGAAATGGGGGAAACTTCACACAGTTTCAACAGCTTCGTTGAGAGGCCATGTCTCGCTGCTGCATATGACAGCTTTGATTGAGGCCATCAATGACAGCGGCAGACACGAGTTAACCCAACACAAATGGCCACTGGACAGTGCGCAATCAACTGTGCTTGGGGGCCATGTTGCAAATGGCTCTCACAATGCGACTTAAATGAGCAGAGGCAGAAGCTGACAACTGAATAACCTTCTTTCGCTACAATAAATAAATTCTTGTCGTGATCTCATGTCAAGCTCAATTTGTGCTGTTCATGCTTACAATTTGTTGCATAAATCGGGAAGGCAAATACTTAAATGGCAGCCTTACGAAACTATCCGTTCTTATATTAGCTTCCACTTGTACGCTCGTCTTAAAGGTAATAAAACAATCTGTTAAATGCATGGCTATGCATTTATCATCAAGCCCAACAAATTGGCAATCGACAGCAAAGTGTAAGTTTAGCATACACTTAAGAAAAGATATGTCCTCGAATTCATGAAATGTGTTTGAAAAGAAGACACATATATTTTATTTAAAAAATAATTTACAAATGTTGCGTAATTCATTGTCTATTCTGAAAAGTAAAAATGCTAACAAGTTTTAAAATAGGATAAATCAAGCCTTTGCCAATATTCACTTACGGAAAATTAAGATGAAGAATAGAAAATAGTTTTCTCCGAGTGTACGCTTTACATCTTTAGCTCATCGCTTTGAACAATCAGGTGAGCAGGTGCTGCCAAAGGCGCCTAACAAACATGTCTTATCAACATTTATGTCACTTTTATGAGGCCTTTTCTCAAACACACACAGACACACTCACACACACAGACACACACACACACACACACATGTATGCACACATAGGTTCAAATGTATGCCAAGCTGAAAGCGGGTGCTGAAAATCATTGAATCGCAAAATAGAGCAATAATCTTGGCACTGTTTAAAAACGGTAGATGCAACCAAAGAGGGTTGAATGGTGGCAGCATGACATGCATAATAAACAACTGCAGTTTGTGGGCGCTGGTGGGCGTGTCGCTGGAGTGTCTGATGCTGGGCAACGATAAATTTAATAGCACATAGCAAAGCCAACAAGTAACATTTCAAGCCAGCCCGTTTTGCTCATGGGCGTGTCCTTGGTGCGCCTAAAAGCATGCATAACGATATTATGAGTGACCTTTCGATATTGTGGTTGTAGTTACTCGCATGTCCCAGCAGCACACTTGAATCACTTTGCCCGCTTCCTCTTCCCCCCGCCCAGCCTTTAATGACTGGCCAAGCAGCTGCATTGAATTATTGAGTTCTCATCAATATAACGGACAACGCCTACCCAACAGCACTATCAGCAGCAGTAGCAACATCAGCAGCAGCAGCAGCAGCAGTAGTCTCATCATCAGCAATATTAACAGCCACGATTCCGATTCAGCTGGGCCCCAACTGGGAATCTGAACACACAAACATGTAAACGTACTATTGTATATGGATGCTCATATATTAAAGTGAGCGCATACAAACAAGCAGAAAAGGTGAAATTGCTGTGCTATGTGTATAAACATACAGGGTGCTCGGGTGTGTGTGAACAATCATACTAAGTGGGTCTTTCACTTAACCGAACACCCTGTTTATAGCCAAAGCAGCCTGCCATCTGCCCCAAGCATCCTCGCTGCAGCGCTTTTAAATATTTTATATTTCAAATAATTTGATTGGCAATCTGCATTGAAAACACACACAAACACACACACACACAGCCACAGACACAAACATCTATACCATTTTTATTATTACACACACATACGCATATGTTATGCGGAAGTTGAGCCTGTCTGACAGCGCAAGAAATTGCTGTTTGTCTCGGACTTTGTCGAGAATTTTAATTCGAAATAAAATTGGTTTAACTTTGCGTATTTAAGAGAATACTGCAAATAATGCATTCACCTGCAGCAGCAACAACAACATCATAATCCTTTCTTAATTGTCTCCGTCACTTCCCTTTGTTTTCACTTTCAACTTTACCATTTTCCTAATAACTAATGAAAAAATTAAGAAAAATATTCTAAATGCACAACGACAACAAGTTGGGCAACATCATGTAAGAATATATATAAAACACAGATATTTTAAATCCGCGTATTTTGTTCCCTCCTCAGATGTCTGCAAGGATCTCTTTCGCTCCAGCTTTACCTGTTCGCAGTTGTCCTTCCGTCATTGTTTCTATTTGCGAGTAAAGAGACAACGAGAATTGAAATCTGCGACCACAGCAGCAACAACTAAATAGGCAAGCAATATTTGTACTGCACCAAAACACAATTTGAAGTTATGTGATTGTTGTCTTATATTGTCTGTGAGATCGGTGCGAACGGACAGACAGACCAGTTTTGTAAGTGATAATTGTGGCTGCTTAAAGTGGCAATCTCATCTACTGGGCCTCCTTTCACTCTCTTCATCGCTGCCTCTTATTTATACCTTATAACGACTAATGAAGCTGGCTTTTAGGCATTTTCATTTCCTTTGTGTATTGACCACGAACTGGGATTATTAATATATATATATACTGCGAAGCATTTATTGCTTTCATCTCGTAATCAATGTAATAATTGCAAATGCCTTTGATTGCTTAGATGTTGCATTTGCTTTCGATTTTTTTTTTTTACCTATTCAGTCTATGTTGCTTTAATTACGGACTGCAGACTACGCTAATGAGACGGTGCAGACCTCCTCCGAGCAGGTAAAAACTTAATTAGTTAAGGTACCGCGCATACCAATCGATGAGGTTTGTTATAATGGGGCCAAAGTGCAAGCTAAAGGTTAATGGATGGCAAACGATGCTCATTAGAGCAGCTAGCAAAATAGTTAATTTGGCGAAGAAAAACATGGACAAAATCCATTAGCTGATCAAATGGTTTTTATATGCCAAGTGAATAAAAACTCATTGCGGACTTGAACAGAATTTGTATGAGCTGACTTTAAATAACTTGCTTACGCTTGGCAAAGATTTATTTTAAGCAATTGAATTCTGTTTTTCTGGTCGTTGCTCCACTGCCAGCCAGATAAGCTAGGATCATTCTTGTTATTTTTTTGTATGTCAAACACTGGCTTATCTCAAATTTCGTTAGCATATCCATTTCAACTATGTCGCGAAACAAGTCTACTGCATAATTGGCCCAAAGGCTGTCACAAGTTCTTCTTCAGAAATCGGCGAGTCCTTCTCCTATATGCTAATAACGTTTCCATGTCCCGCAGCGAGACACAGAATTGCGGTTGCTATAGATGTTGTTGTTGCTGTTGTTGTTGTTGTTGCTGGCATTATATTAAGTCAGGTGCGAATCTGACGCGCACACGTGTATTGTAAAGGTCGAATGTCACAGCACAGGAAATATGCTAAATACGCACGCCTGTGCCAGTGCCAGTGCCAAGATTTTGGAGTGTCTCAATAGACAGAGAGACATAGACAGAAATAGAGAAAGAGAAGCACAATTGACTCAGATTTGTGGCATACACTTGCAATTGTCAATCAGCAGCTGGGGTGGCAACAATGCCCCCAAGTTCAATCTCCACAAATTAATTAAGTTTATGCTAATTGGCCAGCTGAGGCGCAAGCCATTAATTATGTCACATGGCATATGGTGCGTATACGTAACGCAGCACAAATTAAATTCAAATCAAATGTTTTAAAAAATTTGCATAATGGCCGTGAGCTGGAAGAACAACAATAGCAATAATAGCAACAGCAACAGCAACAGCAACTGCAGCAGCAGCAACCGACTGAAAGCAGGCCAAACACATTATCAATCACTAATCGATGAAATCGATAAGGCAAACAAACATGGCGATGCATGCCCAGAAATTCCACATCGCCACACTCCCCCCTAACACTTAGAGATGGCAACGTGCAAGGTAATTTTATATTGTTGCAAAAAGGAAAAAAGCAAATCCCAAACACATTTGCAGCAAGGTAAGAACAGAGTTTCCGCACATATCTAGAGACTGGTGGCGTTTGTTTTACTTGTTTGCTCTTAGCTAATTTCATATCGCATATCACACATCTCTAGTCGTCAAAGTCAATCCAGCCCAGTGGTCTATCTCATGTATTGTTAACGGCTAATCGAATTTACAGCTGATTAAGCCGTTCCAGTTGCCAGTGGCTTGTACTTTTGTCCCACATTTCTGAGGGGTAACTGCCTGTTTTTGGAAACCCTTCAATCATTTTAATTTTATGATTTATTTGTACAGACACTAAAAGGCTTTTGGCTCAGTGTTATCTGCCGCAAAGATTTAATGGCGTTTTATCTATAAATGGACAGCTAAAAGGCCGTGCTGCCAATTGACACGCATTGCAAAATTTCCATTCATTTTTTTTTGTTTTCTGCAATTTTTGGGTACTTTTACAAATTTAAAATTCTTTGCAGCTTTAACCAAAATTGCGTTTTTAATGCGCAAAATTCGAGGCTTTTGTTCAAACGGCTCCCAAGGGGAGGCTAAGAAGTGAAATTAAAACGTGATAAAAAAGGATATAATTTTTTTTGTGTTCAAAAAATAAATATAAAATCTATGACACATAAACCATTTAAAAAGCAATACAAACCAAAAGCAAATGCATCATTTTCCAGTCTAAAAAATTTGATAGAAATTTGTTAAAAAAGTCAAATGTTTCCTGGCACGCCTCCTGGAATTTCCCTGGCCTCATATGCCGCATCACTTAATCCCGACGGAACCAATAAGTTACCCAACAGTTTACCTCAAACGTTAACAGCGCTCTGTTAAGCCCATGTTGTTATGGAATGGAATATAACTGAAGCAGTTGCGACATGTGTGAAAGTGGGCTGAAATAAACTCAAGTTTGAGTCAACCTTGAGCATAAGCAGCACCATTATAACCTAGCAACATAAAATAAAGAAAAAGCTTTCTTCATCAGTTTCGCTGAAAGCTTTCTGATACATAAGTAATCAGAATACTGGGTACGCTATTTGAGAGCTTTAATCACGGAATAAAACCTTAAGAACAAACAGTTATTTTTACATGATTTTAAACAGTTCGTTACTTAAGCTGACATTACTTTGATTTTGGTGCTATATATATATATAATAGATAATAAGTTAAACATACGCACACACACTAGCGTATACACGCATTAATATATATCTATATAATCTGTATAACTTAAAGCTTGCATTAATTGTGATATTTAAACTGATTCTTAATCAATTGTGCCTAGATTATCTATCTTACAATTTCATGATCTCTATTCTCTCATTTTTGTATCTCAGTATCCTCGACACGAACTGGCTTGCGGGACAAATACAATACGATAATGGTAGTCAGGGCGCTGACCAGGAATATAACATCGAACCAACGATGATAGAAATTGAAGTGCAAATTTCCAAGCACCTCAGTGATGATCACACGATACTCAGCCGGCATATTCATACGCATCAGCAGGACTGATGAGCAGAAGTACATGCCCATAATTTGACCCAAAATCAACACTATAATGTTGCTCGATTTGCTCGATGAAATGCGATAAAAGAACTGCAAGAAACATACACGTTAAACAAATCATCTGTGAGTCTTCAAAAACCAACCTTTGTGAGTGTGAGCAGCAGGCCGCGAATGGAGGTGACCACAATGCAGCCGACGAGCAGAAAGGAAATGTGCTGATTCCAGAATGCCAAATCAATATCAAAGCCGCACCAGTGCACGGCAATTTCCAAGCCACGCGTCACTGGATCCTTGCGACCAACGCGATCGAAGATAATATTAATGCAACACTGCAAATTGTACAGATTAAACAGAAATTGTTGAAATCATTTAACAAGAATTTCTACTAACCATAATTATCTTATAAACGCAGTAGACACTGAAGAAATGTCCGATAACATTAAAGTATTTGCCCTGCAGCGTTTGTGACCAACGTTGGCGCTCCTCCATATTTTTGAGTGAGCTCAGCTCAAGAAACACCGAACGTTGCAGCTCCTCCAAACCGTACACTTCCTGCTTCAACTGATTGATGTCTGCAGTCAAATAGTAGATGTAAAATGGATAGCTATACAATAAACACGCCTTCACTCACCCTCCCCACCGCTTGTTGTGCGGTGCACTGCTGATGTCAACATATCCCAAATTCTTGGCTTGGCAGGATGCTGTTTATTATGATTATAGAGGGCCATTGCAATGCGTCGCTTTTTGGCCGTCAGCATGTCCACAGTCAGAGCGAGACGTCGCTCAAAGCACATGATGTCATTGCGCGAAACGGGCCTGCAGTGGAAAAACACACACACGTTAGCCGTAAGTGATAAGAAATCATTTATGTGTTGTGTGTTTTATGGACGCTTACTTAATGAAATAGGTCATGCTAGTGTATGGATAATTGACAGCACCGAAGCCGGATAGTATGGCCATGACTGTGACGCCAATGACACTGATCCGTGACACTCCCTGCTCGATGGTGAATATGCCATGCGAGGCGCTAAGCAGTGGGAAGGGTTCACCAATGCGCCAGAGACCGTACAGGAAGATAAACCAGCAGAGAGTGGTCAAAATGCGCACCCATCTGTCAGAAACTGCCGGAGAAATAAACGCAAAATATATAAAAAAAAAATAAATAAGAAAACAAATTTGAATAAGCAAATTGTCACATACAGAAGGAAATGCTGTGTATCACAGAGTAGCAGATGTAGACGGGTATCACCGCTGTCACCATGAACAGCAGCAGCGTCAATCCGAGACGCCAGTGGAAATACCGGGAGCTAGACTCCAGTACGCCAATGATTTCGAAGATGATCAGCTCAAACATTGTGATGGAAAGGGCGAATGTTGAGGAGAATATCAACTGCACGGAGATGTGACGTATCTCATAGTGCTTGAAGAGCTGCTTGTTAAAAAATAGCCAGCCGCCGGCAAAGAACAGCATCTAGAACAAAGGGAATAGTGCCAATTGTAATTCGAATCCAGGTGTAAATATATAGAGCCACTTGCCTGGGAGACGAACACAATTACACAGTCGCCGAGAAAAGCCATTTTCGGTTGTGTGACAAGTTGTTACGTTTTCGTTGTTAATATTGCTCTGCTTGGGTGCATATGTTGTGGCATTGCTTAGTTAGAAATCGTTTTAATTCTATTGTTCTTCACATTCATTGAATCGAAATTGCCAACAAGCAATATAAACAAAAACGCCGATATGCCCACGCAGCGTTGCCAGACTGCAGAACTAATCACATATCGAAGTCACAATATCACAAGTAACAATATTAAATGATTGTAACAAATATTTGGAATATTTCCAAGATGATCAAGTCGAGCAAATAAATATGAAATCATTACAAAAATAAATTCAAAATTTCATATTATGTTAATTCAGTGTTGTTGCCATCTCATCACGACCCATGCAATTAGTCCATCTCCAGTTACGGCACGGGAATCAGCTGTGCAATAACCACTTCAGTGTAATTTTGTAAATGTTGTTATTTTTAGACATAAATTAAACGTTAAATGTAACGTACGTTGACAAGTCCAAGAACACACACAGGCAACAATGTCGTGTTATTATCGACAATATGAAGACACAACGGTCACAATTCCCAAATATTCCGTCGAAAGCTCAGCGGGGATCACATATTATGACATCAAGGTATTTAATTATGTTAACGATAATACAATACACACACTACTTTATAGTAAATCCTATAATACTTGCAAATAGGTTCAGGTGGCGAACGTGGAATGGTTTGTGGAGCGACGCTATCGCGATTTCGCTCAACTGCACGAAAAGCTCGTCGAGGAGATATCAATCAGCAAAAAGCTGCTGCCGCCAAAGAAGGTACGCCCACCGAAATCTAACCTTGAGTCCGGAATTAAAGATTAAAAGCACACTCAAATTTCACTCGTTGCAGCTAGTGGGCAATAAGCAGCCCGCGTTCCTGGAACAGCGTCGCGAGCAACTGGAAATCTATTTGAGGGAGCTGCTCATTTATTTTCGCAACGAGCTGCCACGTTTGCTGGCCGAATTCTTAGATTTCAACAAGTATGACATCATCTATCTGCTACAGGATCTGGCCAGGGTCTTCAACGAGACCGGCGATGCACTCCTGAGTGCCAAAAAGGAGTACAGCCTCTCGGCTCTAGAGGTAAGAAGGACCCGCTTTGATCCCATTTTAATTAAATCTTTATCTCTGGGTCGAAAAACTCAGTTTTTTGTGAGTTATGTGCTCGATATTCAATGTTAAAGTTTACTTTTACTTCTTTTTAAATAAAACTCGCGTTTGCCATGTCCAAATTGTTTGTGGTAGCCCTGACCATGTTCAGCGGCCGGCCACTGTCCCAATTTCGCGGCCTTAAGTATTCTCTGGGTGTACTACATATGCCACGTACAAATTTCTCAGCGGAGCTGCAGCATACGCTCCAGTCGGAGCATAGCTTTGTGAGCATCATCAAAACACACTCGAGCCTAGTCCGCAGGCATAGGAGGTGGCACTGCCGGCACGATTCGAGCAAGCGGCATTTCTTTAACTACTTGCTGTTGGATCCGCGCATAACCAATGGACTGAAGAGACGGGCAAGTGGCATGCACCAGCTCGATGTGTGGCTGACCTTTCTACGCTCCATTTTCTATGTGGGCAAGGGGAAGTCCTCGCGTCCCTATGTCCATTTGCGGCAGGCGCATAAAGTGATGCAATCAGTTGATCGTCATGTGCTGGCAAAAGATCCAAAGATCGCCCTCATTGTGCATCTGTGGCAGCAGAAGCGTGGCGTTCAATTGCTGCGTTGTTTTCACGGCATCTCCTCGCATGATGCACACACCCGCGAGGCCGCAATGATCGATGCCCTGGGCATGAATCATTTGACCAACAGGCGAGTGGGTATCTACTTTGGTGTGGCGCACAAAAAATTCACAATGCAGCAGCGCAGGCTGCTCGGAGTCGTGTTGCTCTACAGGCTGCTTTCGCTCTACCTGAGGCATGAGGAGCGTGAACTACAGCCCGAGAGTGTTGTCCAAATCCATTAGAAGTGTATGAATAATTGGACTCTTTTTAATTTTAATAATATCGGTGTAGCTTTAAACTATTTATCATTCCCTTCGTAAATCTTTGTGGTTTGAATTTCACAGGTTTATGCCATCAGTGAGCGCCTCTCCTTGCCCTGCCCACCGAGTGAACTAGGCGGCAAATTTGACTTCTCGCATGTGCTGGACTTTAGCATGCAGCTGGCGGCATTGGTGGTGACGCCGGTTAAGGACAACACCAGTTTTGTGCAGGACTACAATACGGTGGATGTGCCAATTGGACGCAGCAATATCATTCCGAATCGCTTAAGCTTCAATTTGAATGCATTCCGTAATCTCAAAACTCTCAAATTCTCAGCACTGTCCACGGAGAATATTGTGGACATTGAGCCGTTGAAGCCAACTCTGGAAACGATCTGTGTGCACAACACAACAATTACACATATCAATCAGGTGCTGCTCTGCGATAATCTGCATAAATCGTGCGATGTGCCCAGCCTGGTGCCGGAAACGATAGCCGAAAATGGTGACGATGCCCTGCTTACCACGGATGCATGGAGTGAGCTTAGCGAACTGGACTTGACCGGCAATCTATTAACACAAATCGATGGCAGTGTACGCACTGCACCCAAACTGCGTCGCTTGATACTCGAACAGAATCGCATACGCAACGTGCACAATCTGGCGGAGCTGCCACATCTGCAGTTGCTGTCGTTGTCGGGTAACTTGATTGCCGAATGTGTGGACTGGCATCTAAGCATGGGCAATTTGGTGACCCTAAAACTGGCACAGAACAAGATCAAAACGCTGAATGGACTGCGCAAGTTGCTCTCCTTGGTCAACTTGGATTTGAGCTGCAATCTCATTGAGCAGCTAGATGAAGTTGATTTTGTTGCCAATCTGCCGCTCCTAGAGACTCTGCGACTCACTGGTAATCCTCTTGCAGGCAGTGTCGGTAAGTCTTTCTTATCAATCTAAAGCCATATTAAGTGAATCTAATTTGGCTCCATTTTTTGCAGATTATCGTCCTCGCGTCTTAGCGCGTTTCCACGAGCGTGCTGCTGAAATCTCGCTGGACAATGAGCCGGGCACCCAACAGGAGCTAGACACTGCGCTTGTATTGTCCGCCCTACTGCAATCTAAACAGCGACAACAGCAGAAATGACCAAGAACAGTACAATTCCAATCCTCGAAAAATAGCCCTAATCAAAAAAAGTATTCTTCTGGTGTCAAAAAGAGTTTAAGTTCAGTTAGTTTAGTAGCAGAGCGAGTCTTCTAGCTACATCAGACTTGCTTTCAAAATCCAACCTATGTGCGAGCTAAGGAATTGGCATTGAAAGACTCAAACTGTTCTTACCAATATACAAAATTTTATTTTATATGTTTTATGTGTATTGCATGTGGACAATAAGAGCTGCATGTTTTCATGTTTTATTTTGTTGGTTTGTTTAATGTATTACTAATAATCTATCAATATATACTGTGCAATATTACGATGCATAGATTGTAGTGTATGTATATAAGCTAATAAGATTTAAACTCATAATATACATGAATGCTTTTTTTACGTGGATGAAGTTTCTCAGTAATTCTGCCAAGGCAACGTATAATCGCGCGCCTTCAGCTTGCCCGGTAGCTTATATCATTGGGGTAGTTGATGATGATGCTGCTGCTGTTGCTGCTGCTGCTGATAGTGTTGTTGCTCAGCAGCGGCAACCGCATCGAACATGGGCGTGTGCACCTCACCCAAAAACTGTGGCGTTGGCGGCGCACTCGGCTCGGCCAGTTCCCCAATAAGCGGCATGTCAATGTCTGTTGACATAGCGCTCTGACCGTAGCCAGTCATTCCATATGGCTGCTGTTGGTGGTGCTGTTGCTGTTGTTGTTGCTGTTGTTGTTGTTGCTGCTGCACCACAGACACCTGAGCATAGTCGGCAGCTGCTTGCACCTGCTGCGGATCCAGCATGACAGGTGCCGCCTCCATTTCACCGAATTGTATGGGCGTCGATTGCTGCTCCTGTTGCTGGACTTGGGGCAAGTGTGACAATGGTACGGGTTCCGGATGTGCTGCTATATATTCTTGTTGTGGCTCATCTGTTTGCATATCGGCTTGAGTCTCCTGCGGCAACGCCTGATGATGTTGCTGCATTGGCTCCTGATCCGCTGGCTGACCCTCTTGCGGCAGCTGCTGGTCATCATCGACCGGAGTCTGGAGCAGCTCGCTATTGTCATCCATGGCATCATCGACCGCATCACCCATATCTGCGCCCTCGCCAGAAGTTTCACCATCACGGCGCACCAGACCCAACATATCCAGCATATTGCGCTTGACGGCATTCTCGTTGGACGTCTCCACACTAGGGTAGCAGGTGCTCAGGCAACAGTTGGCCAAATGCTGGGCCATTTTGTTGCCATTGCTGGTGGCAAAGCCGCAGATGCAGTGCATCTCCTGCTGCATATTCACTTCCATTGCATCCTCAAAGTTGCTATTACAATCAACGCCATGTCGGAACTGGGCGCGCTCGCAACATGTTTGATAGTTGCACTTGACGCAGTGCAGCCAACCGCTGTGAAAGATTCAAAATGCTTCAACGGTTGTATATCGGAAATATTTTTGTGTTGCTTTCACTTACGTGTAGTGTGTCTCCTCGCTGGCGAAATCAGTATTGCACTCGGCGCATGTCTTGCCCTCGAGGAAGGCAAAGAAAACGGGCCGTTTGTATGTGGAGAATGGCGGCTGTTCCCGATGGTGTGTGCGCACCTTGGGCGGCGGAATTAGTAGCGAGTTATTCAATAGCAGACGCACTGGTTTATTTGTCTTGGTCATGCTGACATGATGCATGACCGTGTGCTGTTTCAAATCGCCCTTTTCCAAGAAGCTCAGCGAACACTTCTGACACCGCAATGCTGGATCCCTCTTGTTCACATGCTCGTCCAGATGCATGAAGAAGTGCTCAACACGCAACTGATTCACCTTGCCCTTATGTGTAAAGTAATAGATCTGCAGAAGGCAAACAATTATGAAATGATTTTACGAAACATCGGATAGACTGCAATTACACTTACATCAAGACAGTATGGGCACTGCAAGAAGTTCTGATTCTTGTGATCGTCGTAGAAGTGGCGCACCAGATCGCGATGCGAGGAGGAGCGATAGCCGCAGGATTGACACCAGTACGGCAACTCTAATGTGCTGTGCACCCTCTGCAGATGGGAAGTCAGAAATTGCAGAGAATTGTATCGCTGCTGGCAAATCAGGCAATAATAGGAAGGGGAGCCTTCCGTCTTGGTTTCGGTGGGATGCATGATTTGATTGTGCTTGGCTAGCACAAATTCGGTTTGATGTTTCTCCAGGCAGAACAGACACTGGAATTGATGTTGACTGCCCTCGGGCGAGATGTGCGACACCAAATGCGTTTGCAGCTTCTCATTGGAGTCATACGTTTCGCCATTCAAGCAAATTGGACACTCAACTGTCCTGGTTAGCTCCGCTGGATTGGCTCGTGGCGAGCTGTAGGGAAAATGCTCATAGAACTCTTCTGTGCCATCGCTAATGCCATAGTAGAGCTCCTCGAGACCCTTCAGTTCGTCTTCTTCCTTTTTAATGACAACGGCAACCTTCTCTTTCTCCTCCTTTGTCTCCTTGGGCTTTTTAGGCACCAATTTCGTCGAGGGCAGAGCAGGCACGATCGTCTTGGCAACTGCAGTTTTCGCAGCCAACTTTGAAGTTCCAGCTCCTTTGCCGAGGCCCTTGGAGACTCCTGCCGGAGGGGGTGTGCTGACAGTACTGCGACGTTTGCTCCCTGTTGGCAAAATATCCTTTTCTTTCTTCACTTTGCTGACATATTCCTTGCCAGCGTGCACATAGTCCGTATCACTGATTGCTGCAAAACGAGAAGATCAGATCGTTTAGGATTAAAATCTTATCTGGCTTTGCTTTCTGATCACAACTCTTTAAATAATGCCGCACATTCTTCTTAAAGATGCAGAGAACATTCTTCGATTGAAGTCATCCATATTTCTGATTTTTCTTTTCTTTTAACAGATTTATGCCTTTTAACGTTTTGTCACTTCAAAAATCATAATGAATGCAAATAAAAAGTACCAGTTTTACATAGTTTTGTATTTGGTTTTACTTATATAATTTTTTTGTTTGTTTATTTCGTTTTAAAACAAGTTAACACATTTTAAGAATGCCAAAAATAAAATTATATGTAAATCAGTTTTTAAATGCTGACTCATTTAAAGTATCATGAATAAAGATTAATTCCAATACACATAATTAAAAAATTAAAAAGAGTTGATAAACATTTCATGTCGGACATTGGTTATTACAATCGTTTTGGAGTGACAAAACGCATAGGCATTACAATATATTTCTGGTTTGGCATTGCTCACAGCTGCTGCTGCCTTAGGACTAAATTAGACTATTACGACTAATCACTGTCTACATACTAACTAGCGGTGATTTACTAACGTTTCTTGAGACGCTTGGGCGTTGCATTGGCTGGTGTCTCCTTGTAATTGGGTGGCAGTACGCTCCAGTCCTTAAATGGATTTGTTGCGACCTGCGAACCAAAAAAACAAACACATTGCTACATTAACATATTTCAAAATGATATTTGCTCGATAATCACCTGATACAGGCGCTGTGTAATTGTCTCATTGGTCGTTACACGTGTCTGCTCGGCAATGTGTATGATGATATTGTTGAACGCCTGCAGCGCATACGTGCCAAAGGATTCGCGCCAGACGAGCTCATCGAGGAACTGCTGTATCATTTGGCGCGAGAGCAACGACAGCGTATTCTGGAACATGCGCGGCACAATGCGACGCAAGTATTCCATAACAGCCGAGTTGTTGTGCTTCGCTGCGTTATCGGTGGCTGCCGCCTGAACAATGTTCTTGAAGCCCATGCTAAAGAGTGTTATCTTGTCCACGGTAAGATCTATGCAAATTGTGCTGTCCTTGTGCACCCAGCGAGACAGTGGCTCTAAAATTGCCTGCAAATAATGTATCCATTTAAATATATAATATTTTATAATAAATTAGAGTATTGCATACCTGAAAACGTTTCTTATAATTACGGTCGCCATCGGTAATCGGTTCTACGGCACGCAGCCGTATGGATTTATCCGTATAGTCGTAGACGCCAAGCACCTCCACCTTCACCTGACGTTGTGCACCGTCCTGCGACGTTGTGCCCAACGAAATGACACCCACCTGCAAAGCGTCGGCAAGGAAAATTTATTACATGCTCGAACTTACTAAAACTAAAATTAAAATAACCAAATTAAACGCACCTCAACAAACTTGCCGGGGCCGCCGAGCTTTTTGCACTTTTGATGCACGGCCAATGTACAAATAGCACGTAGCCATGTGTAGATGCCTTTGATGTAGACACTGTCCACTTTGACCCACTGCACCACATTCTGAATGCTGGTCTGGCAGGCCCAATGATAGACGAGCTTTAGCAGAAATGTTGGCGGATGCTGGGCGCCCTCAAAAATGGAATTGTTAAACACCGAAACGAAACGGTAGGGACAACAATCGCTAATCCAAACATAGCCGCCGGTATACGGAAACTTGCTGATGTCCGAGTAAACGCCTAGGAATATATAGAAAGAGTATGTGTCAGAGGATTTTCGAAGTTTTAAAATGTAGTTATTTAGTATTCTTAAATAAGATTGATATAAATATATAAAACAAATGAACATACAGTTCTTATTCCGAAGTTATAAGATTCACAAATAAAACACTCGGTTTAAATATTTTCTTTCTTACCCATTTTGAGTTCGTTGCTCCGATGGTTTATGCAGTGCTGCTGGGCACGCAGCAGGCCCTCTTGGAGCAGCCACTCGCAGAACTTGTTGGGTGTCAGCATGAGCACCAGTTTGACCTTGGAGTCCAGTTTGCTGCGCGTCGCTGCCATGTCTTTGATCTTGAGGAATGGCTTGGCAAGCACGACCAGTGATGGATATGTTTTGCCCTGCATTTTCGTATCCTTGCCTTCCTTGGCATCTTTGCCATTCTTGGCGCTGCTGTCATCGTTGCTACCCACCACCAAACCACCCACAGAATTGACCTCTGCCGGACGGAAATTCTTGGGTGGCGCTTCGCCACTAGCCGATGATTTGCTGGAACCTGCGCCCGATCCCTTGCCACCCTTGGGCTGTGGCGATGCCTTGCCTGTGGGAGATGCAGCTGCTGCCGCCGCTTTTTTACTTGCTTTGGGTGTCGATTGGGATGGCGGAGCGGCGGCAACAGCCTTCTTGCCCACTGACAGGGCTAAGCGTTTGCCCAGCGGCACATCGTCGTCGCTCTCATCCGATGACTCCAAGTAAGCAATGTTTGCTGCCAGACGGGGTCGGCCACGACCACGCCCAGTGCCACCACCGCCTCCACCCGAGGCAGTGGTGGGCGGTGGGGGAGGATCTGCTTTTGGTGGCTTCTTAGGCAAGGTCGCCTCCTTGAGCTCTTGCAGCACTTTGCCCTTGAACGAGTATGCCTGAAACACCTGCCCGCTGAATAGCTCCTTGCCTTCATTGGCGCTGACGGCGGACTTCAGCGCGTTTTTCACCGCATTGTGCTCGTTTGTGATTTTCTCGTAGTAGGCCAATTGGGCGGGGGACAGCTCCTCCACCCAGCACTCCATATCAAGTGATAAATCACTTCTAGTTATCCGCGTCATCGTTCCCAACGCACTAGGCTGCCTTATTTGATGTTTTTAAATTCAAATTATTCTTCGAATCAAATGGGTAATTGATTTTTTTCGCCGAGGCTGTACCGTGGATGTACCTGCTTGTACAGTGTGACCATTTGTTGATGGCTTAAAAATACTGAATACTGATATACCAGAAAAATGTATGTATTGCTTGGTTCGAAAATAACACAAAAGGCTGACCATTTTAGCTCCATTAAACTTTGCCAATTTTTTTTTTATATTTTCTTACTCGTGTCTTACTTTCAATCTGGCTTGGAAGGGAATTGACCAATTTGGCAAAATGGCAATTTTACAGAAAAATGTACGAATTGCTTGTTTCGATTTAGCTATGTATATTTAACTTTGCAAATGCCAAATTGGTGTCAGTTTTATATTTTCATTCATGTTTTATTTTTAATCTGAAGGCATAAAGAAAAGTTTGCAAAAAGGAAAAAATAATGGCAGTTTTACAATTCTAAAGACAAGAATTGAATGAATGAACAACTTTGATTGCCACGTTTGAGCCAGAACCCAAAATGCAAAATGAAATAAGAACGCATTTTATACAAGAAAACAAATTTCATATTTATAAATAACGTTTATTTAATTTGACTTTAATCGGAATGGTGGAAAGATAAGTGTTTTTCATTTTTACAATCGGGCGAGTGATCCTCTTAGTCTTGAAGTGTTATCAATTAAGTGCCGTAATAAACAACGGCACATTCAATAAGCAAAAATACTTTCTAAAATATAATTTTTTAATTGGAACCCAGAAGACTGATAAAAATAGACTTATAAAACATTTTTAGTTGAAATTAGCGTGTTACATTTATTATGGTTATTATTATTAATCTGCATTTATGATGTCGTCCAGAACGGTGTCGTAAAGTATTTCTTTGATATTCAGACCCCAAAGGAAGTCTAGGTGATTCCACTTAGCCTCAGGCATGCGATAAGCCCGCTTCAGAGCACTTGGGTTCATGGTTCGCCTCAGCAAATCCACATCAATCAGACTGGCGAAGTAGTCATTGTCGCTGTAGTAGAGATAGATCGGTACATCCATTCCCTCAACGTCATAGTTCGGGGGTGCCTTGTTATTATACTCCTTCTTGTTTCTGATACTGCCATAGTCGAACTGGCGGAAATAGCCGGATTGGTATTCCTGCAGGTAGTGGAAGAGCTGATTGATGGAGCAGCCCGCTGGCGTTGTGGCCATGATATCAGGAATCATTGTTGCATTCAAATATGGTGAGTCCCAGCCACCCATTAGGAAGAGCGAATTGGTGCAGATAACTTGAGAGACGGCTTGGTCTCTGCACATAATCGAACCCATCAACTCCATAGCCTTTGTGCTGGGCATAAACTCAGCGCTACCGAATAGTTCCACAAGTGCATTAGGCTGTCCAAGCAAAGGTCCTGCTACCTTAGCGAGCGGACTCTCCATATGCTCCATCCAGGCAACCGGAGCCAGCAAATGGGCCGAACGAATGCGACTCTTAAATCTCTTGACCATCGAGTTAAGCACAAAGAAGGAAGTTGTGCCCTGCGAGTGACCGACATATTGCAATTTCTGCTCCCCGGTCATGTATAGAACGTAGTCAATCATCGCTGGCAGATCATAGATGCCAATGTCGTGCCATTCAAAGTTCCAGAATGGCTGAAACAGTGGCGACTTGGTCGCATGCTTCTTCGAGTAGGTGTTGCCGCGAGCATTGCCCATCCAGACATCATAGCCAGCATCGGATAGGATGAAGGCCAAGCCATTTTCTGGTCCGCTCAGAACCCAGTCCGACGAGGAGCAGAGCAAACCATGCTGAAGGAACATAACCTTACGTTCACCACCAACGTTGCCCGTTTTTGAAGAGTAGGGTATGCGATGCATTGTCAGAATATATCCATCGGATGTTTGCACTTGATGCTCCTCGATTGGATAACCAAACTTCTTCACAAGAGACACCTGTACAGATTTCGAAATCAAAGGATATGCAATGCAAGTTTAAATATTATATGTTATATATTTTACCGTTGTTACTGAACTACTCCGTCCGGCATTGGGAGGCAAAGCCGTAACAATAAAAGCCAGAAATAGCTGAACAACAAGAAATTGGAGGAGCCCCATTCTCAACAGATATGTTTTACTTAATTGACCGCTGCAATTAGATTGCAAGTTTGTCAAGTTCACATGGCATTTATATACCCCCATGGTGGTTGAAACGGACAATATATATTACTAAAGCTTCAATCAAATTTACGATAGGTGGTTTGACATCGATTTTTTGCAATCATAATTGATATATTTATTAGTAGTAACTCAGCATGCCTAGTCAACGAAGTCAGATAGTGTACGGCGTCAGCGATGATAAGCTTCGTTTTTGACTTGTTTTCCGCGTTTGATGTTTGAATTTTTCCTTAAATTAAATTTTAGCGTAAAATTGTGGCGCCAACTGTGATGTTGCCATATTGCTAAATGGTATAACTATTTCTTGCTGTTAACAACAGTTCTGTTATTGTTATGTTAAATAATATTTTAGTTTAACATTTGTCATTTCCAGACAGGTTGTGTTTTTTTGCCGCTCATATTAATAATAAATATAAAAACAATGCGGGAAAGGCGCGATAGAGAACGAGATCGAGAGCGGGAACGAGACCGAGATCGGGAGCGGGACCGAAACCGTGACAGAGATAGGGATAGAGAACGAGAGCGCGAACGTGAACGCTATCGCTCCAAATCAAAATCTCCCTCACGCAGCAGCCGAAATAGATCAAAGTCAAAGAAGAAAAAGTCAAAGAAGTCGAAGAAATATTATCGACATAGTCGCAGCAGCAGCCGCAGCTCATCGCTCAGCTCACAGAGTTCATCCCGCAGCAGCTCGCGGAGCCGGCAGAGCAAGGGTCGGGAATACGATTCCCGCAAATCCAAGTCCAGGTCGGCATCGCAACGCACAACACGAGCGCCCAGCGCCGAGAGCGGCTTCCGTCAGCTAAACACATCATCAGCAAAATCAACTGCACCGCCCATCAAAGCCATCGATTTGCTAGACGCCAAAGTGCAAAAGAGCCTGGAAACAATCGATGAGGATGCATTCAAGCCGTCTGCATTCTTCAGCTCTCGCGATCGGGAAGCCCATGAAAAGGACAAAGTGATCATCGATTTAAATAAGGAGACTGTGATCGTAACCAAGCCAGCCGAAGTTACAGCTCCTAAAGAAGACGAAATCTTCCATCCCAATGTGGGTTGCATTTGTATTTTATTTGCCTTATTTGTGTATTTAGCAAATGTTATTCATTGTTTTTCTTCCATTTACAGTTTTTGGGCGATTCTGAACTGAAGGCAGAGAAATGGCTGCGCAAACTCTACAATTATCGCCAGAAGTACATGCAGCAATAGCAATTAATATTTATAATTAACAATTAATAAAAACCTAAGAAAAAAATGTCGCTTAGAAAATATCACTGCCAGTTTTCCGGGCACGCATCAGAGCAATCTCCGGCGTCAGTTGCTCGTTGGGTGATGGCTCTGTGGCTTTGCCATCGGCGTCCAGCTTGCCAGCCTTGAAATCCTCAATAATCTTCTGCGAGTAGACGGCATTGAAGAGATCCAGGCTTGTGTACTCCGATTGTATTACTTCGGGCGCCTTGTAGGACACATATGGCTTCAGTTTACAGCCAGTCAAGTCTGGCACAATGATGTCGGGTATTTTCTCTGGTATCTCCACGAATTGGCCATTGAGTGTGATGCCCGTGTCGCGCACTCCTCGTTTGTGAATGGCCACTGGAGGATTGGCCAGTGTCCGCTGCGCTTCCTTTACCACACGTGTGCCACGCTTGCTATACACATTAAATTTACGAAAGTTTCGTTTTCCAGCCATTGCTGCCGTTGAGCTAACCGCTCGCTGCTGGCACTTAAGTGCCAGCGGTAAGAGTTTAACACAATTTTGCATTGTTTTCTTTTAAGAAATCGACTGGTTAAATAACTAAATTTTCTGCATGCAGTAGCAGCAGCAGCTGTAGGTTTTAGTGTTGTCAATCTGCTGAGAATCAAGATCTGGCAACGCTTAAGACAGTTTGGTATCGATAATCAAGCACAAAAGCATTTGTAAAAGTTTCTTGGTGAAATAACACAGATGCGTTTTAGGCAGAAGCTAACACGATTTTATATTAGTAGCAGGTATCATAGTCATAGAAAAGCCAACTATAGAAAATGACGTCAGAAGGTAATGTGCTTTAACCACAACAAATATCTAATAAATCCGTATGCCGTGAACGCATTATAAAAAATGAAGTATCTCTTGTTGCAGACAATTTCGCACATGAATTCGAGAGATATTTGTATAGGAGTTTCCACTTTGGGCCAAATACCAAAATAAGGCAATACGATCCTTCAATTATGGAGATATTCGGAGTGTTGAGTCTTACCGATGTGCGGCAACCAGATCGCAAATTGTGGTATGTGTATTATTGCAAGCAGACTGAAGTCGACGAAACCTTGGACCGTATATTCAAAAAATATGGCAAGAAGAATATGCGTGAAATATTTCGCAAACCCGTCTTCAGCGGTGTTGATCTGTGCGACAAAGTAAAAGACCATTTTGCCGAGAAGAAATTGTATGTGAAAGGCAAGCTGATTGAAGCACCACGAAATAGCCCATACAACGATGATAAAATTATGAGGCAGGTTACCGGATTGTACGATGAGGAGCAAAGATTGCTCTTTCAATATGTTTGTAGCAAGAGTTAAACTGTCTATCTCTATGTGTAAAATTAATCATAGTATTATAATGCGAAATTTTATAAAGTATATGCTAAGTGTGTAAAATGTTATTCAGCTTAGTTTTGTTCCCTTTTTTAAATTAAAACTAGTGACATTTTTTGTACGCCGTTGTTTTGTCAACTGTTGAGAAACAAGATCTGTCAACGCTGTGGCCGGTTAAATATCGATACTCGAGCACAAACAGCTTTCGAGCTAACATATTATTGTGAATTAATAACACAGTTAAAGTTTTGTACGGCTTTCATACTTGGTGAAATAAGCACCATTTCATATATAAACACAGTTTTCTATCAGCATTTACTTAACGTTACTTAAAGAAGAAGTTATATTAATCAAACAAAAAGCTAATTATATAAAATGACGTCAGATGGTAAATTTAACCACAACAAATATATATATGTATGTGTGTATTTTAAGTGTTGAACCAAATATTAAAAATATAAAGTTTCTCTTTTGTTGCAGATAATATGAGTTTCGATGATAAATTCGGAAATTATTTGTATAAATTGTTGTGCGTTGCGCCAGATACCGAAAGCGATCCCTGCGTTATCGAGATATTCGGAGTGCTAAGTCTAACCGATGTGCGGCAACCAGATCGCAAATTGTGGTATATGTATCACTGCAAACAGAATGAAGTCGACGAAACCTTGGACCGTATATTCAAAAAATATGGCAAGAAGAATATGCGTGAAATAATTCGGAAGCGCGTCTATAGCGGTGTTGGTCTGCGCGAAAGAGTAAAAACACATTTCGCTAATAAGAAATTGTATGTGACAGAAAAGCTGATTGAAGCCCCAAGAAATAGCTCCTTCAACGACGACAAGGTGATAAAGAATGTTACCGAAGCGTACAATGAGGAGCGAAGATTGCTCTTCGAGTATGTTTGTAGGAAACACTTTAACTGCCTGGAAACTCTTTAAAATGTAACTCAACTTAGATGACTAATTATAAGTTGTATTTAAAATTACTGTAATATTAATGACAAGAGGAAGAAATTATACAAAATAATTCATATTTTATCGACTTTTCAATAACTCCACACCAATGGTCGGGGGATTTTCCAGCTCGCTCTTGCTTTATTCTTAGGCTATACTAGTGTAATTTTTGCACGCCGTGTTTTGTTTAAGGGTACCTTTGGGGAGTATATATGTAGTGCTGTCAACTGTTAAGAAAAAAAGATCTGGCAACGTTGCAGCTGGTTAAGTATCGATACTCAAGCACAAACAGCTTTCGAGCGAACATATTGTGAAATTAACAACACAGTTAAAGATTTTGCACGGCTTTCATACATGGTGAAATAAGCACAATTTCATATATAAACAGAAGCTAACACTGTTTTCTATCAGTATTTACTTCACGTCACTGTAAGAAGAAGTTGTATTAATCAAACAAAACACTAATTGTAAAAAATGACGTCAGAAGGTAAATTTAACCACAACAAATCTATACATTTAATATGTATATTTACTTTGTGTTGTGAACAAAATATTAAAAATACAAAGTTTCTCTTTTGTTGCAGACATGAGTTTCGATGATAAATTCGAAAAGTATTTGCATAAATTGTTCTACGTTCCTCCAAATTACGAATACGATCCCTCCGTTGTCGAGATATTTGGAGTGCTGAGTCTAACCGATGTGCGGCAACCAGATCGCAAATTGTGGTATTTGTATCACTGCAAACAGACTGAAGTCGACGAAACCTTGGACCGTATATTCAAAAAATATGGCAAGAAGAATATGCGTGAAATATTTCGGAAGCGCACCTTCAGCGGTGTTGGTCTGCGCGAAAGAGTAAAAGCCCATTTCGCCAATAAGAAATTGTATGTGAAAGAAAAACTGATTGAAGCCCCAAGAAATAGCTCCTTCAACGACGACAAGGTGATAAAGCATGTTACCGAATTGTACGATGAGGAGCGAAGATTGCTCTTCGAGTATGTTTGTAGGAAACACTTTGACTGCCCGTATACTTTTTAAAATGTAATTCAGCTTAGATAACTAATTATAAATTGTATATAAAATTATTGTGATATTTAAGACAAGAATGAATTATACAAAATAATTCATATTTGATCGACTTTTCAATAACTCCACACCAATGATCGGGGGGATCTCCCAACTCGCTCTCGTTGAGATTGTGAATTTAATGAGACAATGGGTCAGTTAATACTGCTTGCTCTATTCCTATGCAATACTACTTTCAATTTTCTTCCCTATTTAAAATTACATGCTAGTTACATTTTTGTACGCCATGTTTTGTTTAAGGGTACCTATGGGGAGGATATACGTTGTGTTGTCAACTGTTGAGAAACAAGATCTGGCAACGCTGCGGCCGGATAAGTATCGATGCTCAAGCACAAACAACTTTCGAGCTTACATATTATTGTGAATTAATAACACAGTTAAAGTTTTGTACGGCTTTCATACTTGGTGAAATAAGCACCATTTCATATATAAACAGGACGTATGTAACACAATTTTCTATCAGTATTTACTTAACGTAACTTTAAGAAGAAGTTATATTTATCAAACAAACAGATATTTATACAAAATGACGTCAGAAGGTAAATTTACGCACAACAAATCTATATATGTATATTTATTTTATGTTGTGAACAAAATATTAAAAAAATAAAGTTTCTCTTTTGTTGCAGACAATATGAGTTTCGATGATAGATTCGTAAAGCATTTACAGAAATTGTTTTATATGCCACCAAATATTGAATACGATCCCTCCGTTATCGATATGTTCGGAGTGCTGAGTCTTACCGATGTGCGGCAACCAGATCGCAAACTGTGGTATATGTATTATTGCAAACAGAATGAAGTCGACGAAACATTGGACCGTATATTCAAAAAATATGGCAAGAAGAATATGCGTGAAATATTTCGGAAGCGGGTCTTCAGCGGTTTTGGTCTGCGCGAAAGGCTAAAAACCCATTTCGCCAATAAGAAATTGTATGTGAAGGAAAAGCTGATTGAAGCTCCACGAAATAGCTCCTTCAACGACGACAAGGTGATAAAGAATGTTACCGAAGTGTACAATAAGGAGCGAAGATTGATCTTCGAGTATGTTTGTAGGAAACACTTAGGATATCCGTATATGTATTGTGAATCAGCTTGGATAACTAATTATATATTGTATATAAAATTCCTGTAATATTTCAGACAAGAGTGAAATATAGAAATTAATAACAATAACTGCACGCCAATGATCCGGACTCGCTCTCTCCGAGATTGTCCGTGATTTTAATGAGACAATGGTTCAGTCAAGAGTATTTGCCCTATACTTAGATGATAATAGATTTATTACATTACATTTACATTTTTTGTACACCTTGTTTTGTTTCAGGATAGCTATAAATATTATATAAAATATAATAATTAAAACATATAAATAAAATATAAAAATAAATAACTTTTTCTCTAGAGTTCGATATCTTTATATAAAACGATAACAGTAATTCAATCACGTTTTGACGTTAGACTGTAATTTGACATCCTTATTTTATTTTTGCAGTCTCCGGTTTTGTTAAGAATACATAAATATATAAAATGTAAGCCAAACCATAATTGTTTCATCTGTTTCAGCAAAAATTCCATAGCCCTAATTTGTGTACAAGAGCAACTTATGAGTTTTGATTCTGACCGATTCCCATTTAAGGTCATACTATAAGCAATATTATAGCAATTGGCAAAACTACACAAAATCCGGTTGGAAACGTCACCGCCGCAGCTCAAGCAGCAGTTCCCCAACTCCATCGTCTCGTCGTTATTCAAGTCACAAGTCGCCCAATCACCAATGGTCGTCACGTGTAAGACGCGACAAAATTAAAATAATTTCTAATGATGGAATTAAGTCTTGACTCTTACAGGGTCAAGCTCAGCCCTGTCGTTGCTTGGGCATCTTTGGCCTGGACAGCTTTACATCGGAGGACAAGTTACACAAAGTGTTTAGCAAGTTCGGACGCATCGAACGCATCCAAACGGTAAACTTTCTACAGGTAATTCCAGTTTCAAAGAAGGTTTCAATTTGGACTTAGTAACTTAGTATGTCCTAAATTACAGACACGAATCTCGCGCGGTTTTTGCTTTATTTACTTTAAGAATCTCAGTGATGCACGGAGAGCCAAGGAAGCCTGCAAGGGAATGGTGATTGACGGTCATAGCATTCGTGCTGATTATTCCATTAGCCAGCGTGCCCACTCCCCTACACCTGGTGTGTACAGGGGACGACCTTCATAGTTCGTATCTTTGCAGTTCAATATTCTTAAATCGTATATGATAGAGAGTTCCCGACTATCACTCTTACAGCTTTGAAATCACTCGGGAACGGAAGGTTCACAAGAGAGAAATGATACATTGGTCTCCAAACAACAAATACCACTCAACAGAGCATTCCTATTCAAAGCGACAATATCGTTCCCCAAATGGTCGAAATTCCAACAAGCATTCATTTCTACACGCATAGAGCGATGTTGGTAAAAATAAATGTAAAATCAAAACCTAGCTCTTAAAACATTTAAATAAACTATCGCTGGAGCCGATATATCGAATTGATTAAATTGATTGGTATAACTATCGATGCTAATGCTTTTGCAGCCCTAAGTAATTCTGCGTGCTTTACTTTTTGACAGTAGTTTTGAAGCAAAATAAAAACCAAATTGCATCAAGTGTGCTAAAGTTTGGCAATAAGTGCACCCAATACAATGGTAAGTGTAACCGTACCTAAAGGAAACGGTTTGAAAGTTTGCTTAACACGATTTAATCTTCATGTCCGCAGACCTCTGGGTTTGCCAACGCAAGAAAATATTTACATTTACAGCGCAGTAATACACAAAAATTTAGCCGCAGGTATACTTAACTTTATATATATATATATATATACAAATATAGTTTGGACACACTGAAACATTGTAAGCACTTTGCAGCTCTGCTAGTCCGTACTCTCCAGCAACAGAGTCCTCGGACAGTGCTCGTTCCCGTCAGCGTCGGTGAGTATCAAATCTGGAACTGAACTGGTATCGAGTAGAGCTTGACGTTGTTTGTCAATCTAGCAGGCCAACAATTTTCGGTGTCATTCAACTGTCATAAGGAATTCATCATTTTGATTTAGCTTTCGAAGCGAGAAGGTTCTATTCTTCGGTCTTAAAAATATTTGTATATATATATATATTTATATACATACCAAACTGGAAAAATGTAAGAACTAAAGTGAAATAATAATAATTCAAATCAAAAAACAGGCAAATTTATTTTTGAAATGCAATCACAGTCTAGCGTAGTGAAAATGCAAAGCAAATTTCATAGCAGCTCAATTCAATCACTCAAATGTCGAAAAACCGATTCACACAATTTTAACATCAAATGAAGCACAGACAGCCAACAACAAAACCAACTGAAAATCTTTACTGCATATTCCCATTTCAAGGTCTGACGTGGAGGTCTATAGCAGCCGTCATCCCAAGTCCAAGTCCGGTTTTTCGCAACGCCGACGCTCTTTCTCTGGATCAGAGTCGCCGCCTGCGCGTCGTCACAATTCCAACCGCCGCTTGTCCCGTGATTATCGCATGCGTCAAGTACGCGTAAGTAGCGGCGAATTGACAGTTAAACAACAATTTAGAAGCAGCTATTAATTTGTTTAGTCACAGGATAATCCACAAGCTAGTCGCTGCATTGGTGTTTTTGGCCTGCACACCAAGACCACCCAGCTCAAGGTGCGCGAATTGTTCAATAAATTCGGACCCATCGAACGCATCCAAATGGTCATCGATGCTCATGTAAGTGGGGGGATTCAACTTAATTGCCAAAATTGTGCCATTAATATTTGGTCAGCGTGCAATTTGGACTTGAGCTTCTGCTGAGTTGCGTGTCTGGCGTTTTGGCAAACAGTATTTCTATTTAAATGCAGCAATAATGAGTGTTTGCTATGCGAATCACTAGCAATTCACTAAAGGCTTGCTGTAACATAAACATATATTTTGAATTCACTCCATATTCTGTATTCACTATTATTTACCATCCTTGTAGACTCATCGCTCTCGCGGCTTTTGCTTCATTTACTATGAGAATATCGGGGATGCACGCGTTGCCAAGGATGCCTGCACTGGCATGGATGTTGATGGCCGTCGCATTCGCGTCGATTACTCTATAACACAGCGCCCACACACACCCACGCCGGGTGTATACATGGGACGCCCTTCACGGTTGGTACTATTAAGAAAAAATATAAGCAGTTTAATGTTTTTAAAAAAAATGTTGCAGTGAGTCCCGTTCACGTCGCCGCAACCGCCGTGATTCGTCATCTGTGTCACCAAACGAATCGAAGCGCCGCAATTATCGCAGTCGTCAACGCTACGATCGCAGCTGCAGTCGCTCTCGCAGCTATTCCCGTTCACGCTCACCACGCAAGCGTAAGTTTAAAATTGTATTGTTCATCCATTATAATTGATCATTGTTGTTTATCCTTGCAGCATCTCGCTACTCATCGCATTATTAATATGCTTCTGCACACGAGGGTATAGACTGATTTCTTTTTGTTTTACAATTCCCTGTATATTAGGCAGTGCTAGTATAAACAAGCAGCACCTAGTTTTAGTCGATAATTAATTCACCAATATCGTTTATGTTGCACCCCTCGTGCATTTTTGTAAAATGTAGTGTAGCCATCAAGAAAGCAACCGATGTGGATTTCGCGTCTCATCCTTTATCCATCCAATGGCGCGTAACACAATTTGTGATATGTATTTTAAAAGAAACGGCATAAATCGATTCAAAATATACTAACAAAACTAATCCAGTTGAACGTTTTAGTTGTGGGCTCTGACACAACCAATTTAGCACATATAATATATTTATGTTGTTTATGTATAGGTTTATATAAGAAATTTTTAGTTCTATTTAACTTATATAGCTAGCAGACATGAACACTTCATGCATTTAATTTGGATTGACAGCTGCTGTTGCTGTTGTCGTCGTCGCCGTCGTTGCTGCTGCTGCGCCTGTTGCAGCCTGTGTTGCACGCGACGTCTTATAGGCCAGCTCCAGGCTCTGCTGTATTACCTGCATATCCCCTTCGATGCTGCGCGCCCAATTCTCCACATCTCCCAGTTCTTTTAGGGCACTGCTGAAGTTGTCAATCAGCTGCAGCCACTGGTGCGTTTGTTTGGCAAAGTTGGTGGCACCCACGTGCAATTGTTTGGCTTCCGCATCCAAACGCTTCTGATTTAAATATGCTTGCGCCACACTAAGTTACAATTTATACAGTCGAAATATACACACATCATCTACTTCACCTTACCCCACATTTAGATGATCGACCAGTGATTGAGTAAGTTCGTTTGAGGCTTCAATTGCCTCTTTGCGACGAATTTCTTGCTCTTGTTTTCGCTTTGATTGTTTGGCATGATGATCCTTAACCATTGAGCTTAACATCGCACCTGTTTTTTTTCTTTTACAACAAAATTACTTTACAAACAATACAATTCGGCTGACAACTAGAGATGGCCTTCAGCATAAATATAGAATATCAGATGTGGCTCAATCTATCGATAGACCACAATTCAGTGCAGTACAGATTATCGATACTTTTAAGGTGTTTGCAACTGTGCAAATCAGTTATTTATTGGTAAAACAAATTGAGTTTAATGGGTAACTAACACATTTTGGTTAACAATTCAAATGCACCAGTGCCATTGCGCACCGGGAGGCCAACCATCAGCCGACTCGATGGCGAATTAAGCTGATCGGGACGTCCAAAACCGGCTGCGTTGCGCAAAAACTGCAAACTGGACTCAAAGGACATTTGCTGCAGTGGCGAAGAGGAATGCTCCATGCCCTTGCGCGACAGTGGCTGGAAGGTGCCATCAAAGGTCATGTAGTCGGCGATCAGAGACAAGTGGCGTCGGTCCACGGTAATGCCATAGACCTTGAAGACATTGCTCACTTCCTTGACAATCACCTGGGCGGCAGCCTCGATGCCGTAGGTGCGTGCTATCGCATGTATATCGTTGGAGTACAATCGATTCAGATCCAGGATCTTGTTGTGCTGGAACATTTCACCAATATTGATGCCATCCGTTTTCAGCAGCTGCTCGTCACCGTTGCCCTTGTAGATGATGGCGCGTTTGATATGAGGCACCTGATGCACAATGCTCTTGGCGGCCAGTTCGCGTATGATGGATGTAAGATCGGGTTTCTGGTAGCGCACACTCAGATTGAGTGTTACTCGGCACCACAGATGATGCTCCTTGTCATAGGTATAATCGTTAACCATTTGATTGCTGAGCAGCTTTTCCACAGACTTATCGTCCACCTCGGCATTGTCTTCGTTCGCCTGTTCATTGCCATCGGCGTCCTCTTCTTCATTCTCATCCTCGTCGTCTGTAAAGTGCAGTTCTTATGAGTTTTGGGTATTTACTTTTGATGTTTGGATAACTTACCATTAGCATCTATAATTTCCTCAACATCTTCGGGATCGTCATAGTCATTCTCATCGGTTTTGCGTTGCTTCAGCTTAATGCCAGTAGCGTCATCGTCACCCTATTGAAGATGAATGATGTCTTCGAATTATATATTTTTACTTTGACATATTCAACTTACGCCCTCATCTGACGAGTCGTCTTCATTTTCTGCTACTCTTTGTGTGGCCATGTCATCAGCAGCATCTATCTCCTGATCATTGTCCTCGTCCTGCTTGTTGCCGCCCTCCTTTTTGTCATCGACCACAATGCTGCAGGTAGATAAATTTACTGGTTAGTTTAGGGTTTTTGAGAATGTCCATTAAATTAAATACATTTTGGAAGTCTTCTTGGCACTGGACACCTTGACAATAGCGCGTATGAGCTGCTTGAAGAACGTCTGATGCATGTATTTGATAATGCGCTTTGGTCGCACACTATAATCCTCCTTGTATATCTCACGCGGCAGGAACTTGAACATCAAGTCATACACATAGGCGCGTTCCGGCTCCAATGTTAAACTGGTGCTGATGTGCACGGCTAATTTGGCAAAGAGAAGCAATTACAGATAGCCAATTGTGTGTATAGTAGGATAACAACTTACATTCCAGCAGGCTGGCGAGTGTTACACAATTGAGGGAAATGCGCAACTTTTCTGCGTTGTGCTGCTGTCCCGGTTTGATGGGTATATCCATCGATGGCGTCTTGATGTTCGACGAGGCCAGCATGAGAATTTCACGCAGACGTGGTATACCCAGGGTGACGTTCATTTCACCACGACCCGCAAAATGGAAGGTGTTCAGTGTCATCTGGGTGGATGGTTCACCAATCGACTGGGCTGCAATAAGACCCACCGGTTCGCCCGGCGAGGCGAGTGCCTTGATGCTCTTCATGTGCATAATGTCAGCGATGATTTTCTTCTGCGACGGATTCTTCAACGCATATTCATCTATCAGTTGGCGTGTGCGCTCCGAAACGGCTCCATAGTAATTATCCTGCTTGTATACGGCCACGGTGGGATCGGGACAGCGTGCATATTTCTTGCGATACAGTGCCTTGTCCTCGGCATCAGCCTTTTTCCACAGCTTAATTAGACCCTCGTCGAAGCGTCGGCGACCCGTCTTGGCATTAACTTCATTGGGTCGCTTGACCTCCACTTCGTTACGTAGCTCCTCCGAGAAGTGGGTAAAAGCGGCACGTAATTTGTTGGGCTGTTTCTTCTGCCAGCTGCGTATGTGTTTCTCGTGTCGTTTCACCTTTGCCAGGCACTCCTCGTCCTTCATTAGCTGCAGCTGGCTGGGGCGCAAAACAGCTTTTACATTTTGTGCAAGAAAATCAGCGCAGAATTTGCCATTAAAGAACTTGGACTTGAGTATGTCCAGGCCATCCTCGCCGTAGAGAAATTGCACCACGCTGTTGTCACTGTCGCGCACAGTCAGATCGTAGTGCACACTCAATCCCTCCAAGTGCTTGATCAAACATCGCTGCAGATAACCGGATCGGGATGTCTTTACAGCTGTATCGATGAGACCCTGACGCATGAAACAAAGATAAATTAGTATTTTGAGATTGCATTCGGAATTTATGTGCTTACTTCACGGCCAGCCATGCAATGGAAGAAGAAATCCTGCGGCTGTATGCCCGTCATGAAACGTCCATCAATAAAACCGCCCGACTTGGGCGATGTCTCAAAAGAGGTAAAGCTGGGAAGAGATTTTCCCGATATCATCAACGGCGGTCGCTTTCCTTCTAGCTCAATTTGGCCGAGCAGACAGGAGATTTGCATGGTGTTAACCATGGAACCTTTAGCGCCAGATAGCACCATCAGTTGCAGATTATTCGATGGGAACTTGCTGATCAGACCGCCTGGCAAGCACGTTCTATATGACGATGATAAACAAATCACATTTAATTGAAATACCTTCCGGGGATTATCATTAAACTCACTTGTTAATGTCATTTGTGTAGCCGTCGAGCAGCGATTTGTATTTGCGATCGAGCAAAACACGAAACTTTGAATCCTTGACGTAGGCAGCCTCCATTTGCTCGGCCAACACATCGTGCGGCGGCACATCGTCCAATTCGAGGGCAGCGGCAACAGCACTGTTGCCCGCATCGCGACATTCATCAATGATATTGCGGCGCTTGCGATCCGCCACATCACTGACCAAAATATCCTGGACGCCCAGCGTAAAGCCTTCGAGTTGCAGGAAGAATGTGAAAACCTTGGTGAAGGCGGTCAGCAGGCGAGTGGACACATCGCCGCCATACAACTCATACATGCAATGGATCAGACCAAATGTGGTGGCGCCATACTGTTGCTTATCCAGCACGCCCACCAGCAGCTCACCCTTACGTATCTGCACCTGACTCTCGCTCAATTCCTGTTCCAGCGGCGACGTGCCGCACAGCGGAGTGCGTGACTTGGGCCACATTCCAGTTCTGAAAGAATTAATTGCCTTAGAAACTGAATCGAATCTTTGCATATCTAGGTCGTTGCTTACCTTGCCGCCAATTTTGGCAAAGGAATCCAAATTGATGCGCTCGTAGCCCTCTGGTATCAAATTAATGATTATGGTGGAGAGCACCTGCTTTCCCGACCACAACGTGACTGGTTTTATAATTGACGGTGGCAGTAATTTGACATCGCCTTTGAGATGCGACAGACCCTGGAAGACCAACTGTTGGTAGTCCTCGCGACTGAAGAAGCGACCACGTATGGAGAGCTTGACACCCGAAATAACTTGATCCTGGATAAGCCCACCCAGCGGAGTGCCGTCCTTGGGCACCAAATAGTTACTGGCTACATTGACCAGATTGTAGGCCTCGGCACGTGCCACCTCGCTTTGCGGATAATGCGCGTTCATTTCGTCACCGTCAAAATCGGCGTTATAAGCCTTGCAATTGGAATAGTGCAGCCGAAAGGTTTTCTCGCCGTGCAAAATGCGCGCCTTGTGCGCCATAATAGAGGGCTTATGCAGCGACGGCTGACGGTTAAGCAGCAGGACATCGCCATTCAGGACATGACGATGTACGATCTTGACACCGTCCTTGGGATTTGATAGTAACAGTTTGGCCATGCTGGCTCGCTTGGCCACATTGTCCGCGGGTATAAATGTGGTCGATCCCTTGCTGTCCTGTATGTAATTGGCACCAGGATGCACATCCGGTCCATTCATGACCATTTTGCGCAACTCGACGACATTCCATTCGGTTACAGGCACCGGATACGATAATTTTCGGGCAAATATATCGGGTATTCCAATCTCATCCACGTCGATATTGGGATCGGGTGTGATGACTGTGCGCGCCGCGTAATTCACACGTTTGCCCATCATATGCTTGCGGATGAGACCGTCTTTCTTCTCGAGCACCTGCTTGAGGCCCTCTGCGGATTTGATGTCGCGCGACATGTTCACGTCGAGCAGCACATCCACGGAACTCTGCAGCGACAGCCAGGCATTATAGAGCTTCTCGTGGCTGTTGCTGCCACGCATATTTTGGTAGGCAGCCCTGGCCTGCTCACTTAGATTTTCCTGCTGACCCTTCATGAACTTCAGTACCACATTGAGTACATTGTTATTCTCAATGATGTTCACATAGATATCTGTCTGCGGATTCCCCTTCATCATGTCGTTAATGACGTTCATTGGACGCGCACGCGGCGGTGTCACTGGTATTGTGTCCATAAAGAATATATCCACGGGCGAGTAGTCGCTGTTGCTGTTGCTGCCGCTGGCATCGCTGTTCAGGCTGAGCACGGGCACCAATAGTTTCAGCAGCTGTGGATAGTGCTCATAAATTTTGCGCAGATAGCGTTGCGCCTCATCGGCGAATATCACCTTGTTCTGGCCAGTATTATCGGGCACATCGCCCAGCCTGGCAAAAGACTCGGTTTTAAAGTGAAATGGAAATGGATTTGTGTAGGTCACTCACCTCTCTTTCATATCGGCTATGGTCACATAGTAGACGAGACGACGATGCAAGTATCGCACAAAGCGCATAGACTTATTGCAGTGCCGACATTTCTTGCTGGAGGCACGCTGCAGTGCAGCATGCGTGATGGCTGTGCGTAGAGAACAGCTTGTCTTGGTCATATTGGTGGCATTGTTCTCATTCTTTGCAAGCAATTCGCTGATTGCTGCAATGCGTGGATGCACAGAATCGCCGTTGTCCAGCTTCACGAGCTCCTCGGTGTTCTGGCAGGCGATCTCCGATTTAAACAGCTCCAACTCCTGCGCCTCAATAATATAACCAGCATCAATCAGTCGCAGCTGCAGCATGATAATCTCGCTCTCATGATCTTTAGAATTGGTTTTTCAATTAATAAGATGAATCGACAGACTGCTCAAATACTCACCCTTCATCTGCAGCTTGAAGCAGTGCAGACAGAAGATGCAGAGTAAACGCTGCACCATTTTGATGAAGAATGGATTGTATACAAGTGAGCCCAGCTCAATGCGACCCATGTGACCGGGACAATCTTGCATCCTCAAGCATGTGCCGCATGGATCCATGCAGCGGCCATAGGAGCCCAGGCGTATGTCATATAAACCACCGGGAATTGGGTGTCCCAAGGCATCGAATGTGAGGCCGGTTATTATTTTCACCACACTCAGTTTGCGTATCTCCTCGGGTGAGAACACGGCGAACTCCAGGTCCGAGGGAAACATATGCACGTCCGGTGCTCTTCTCGAGCCCATTTTACAGCGATTTTATTTATATTTTTAATGGAAATAATTGTCCGCCTCAAATCAACAGCGTGCAGCACGTGTATTTAAAGAGAACTGCGAAAGTATCGGTGACTGAACCGATAACATCGATATATATGCATATTTCGCGATACATCGATAACTTGTATCGAAGAAGCAGAAACAAACAGGGTTGGTCACAATACAATAAAGGCGCGATTTTTTTCAAATTTGAAACAATTTGTCCTGTTTAATTAATAAGAAGAAATGTGTAAATACAACTTCATTTGGATTATGCTTTGGTTATGCTTAGAACTTATCACAAGTCAACTGGTATTGCCAGTTTTTAAAAGCCACATTTTGTTCGTATTTGTTGCGGACAGCGTCCAGGTGTTCCGCAACAATTGCCTCATCTCCAACGGCTGTTGCTCCATCACCACAGCCATCTCTTGCTCCCGTTCCCGTTCCATTTCCAGTTCGGGCTCCTCGGAGAGTGTTTGCAGCCTTGCTGCTACCCACTGCTGGTTGTTCATCGTACGGCTGCAATTGTCTTGGACGTCGCAAACGCTGGTTACCACCTGCTCCTCCTCCTTCCGCTGCTGCGGCTGTCTCTCGGTCTCTTTCTCTGTCACGTTTCGCTGTACGACCACCTTTGCGCCAGGACTCGACATTGGACACGTGGCCCGTATCGGCGCTGCCTCGAAAGATGGTCGTCCAACGAAACCACTTTTGTCATAATGATGAACTGTGTCGACTATGCGGCATCTCACGTCGCAACAAATAGACGCACAAACCCAGGCAAGCAAGCAGCAGGCACACTAAGCCGAGCATCGCGTAGAAGCCCTGGCGATAACGTGCCGCATCCGCATTGGCCTCCATCAATCTAACACGCTGACCCACGACTCCGCCATCATAACCAGCGCCCGCCTCGCGTAGCTCTGCATCCTGAGCCGTGGGTAAGAGCACCCGCCAGAAGCCAAAAACACGTCGCAGATGATTGCCGTAGCCGGAATCCAACTGATTGCTGGCCACATACGATTGTCCATTCTGTCTATAACTATCGTGGCGATTTATCCTAGACAAGCTGCGATCTGTGCCAAGTTCTGTCTGCTGTTTACCGCCCAGCAGTTGTTCAATTTGCGCCTCATCCGAGCCTGATGGCAGCTCCAGGGTCTTGGTGGCCAGCGCCTCACCCAGACTGTAGATGAAGGGGCGCTGAGCGGTGTACGGTTGCCAGCCATCGTAGATGCGTCCCGGCGTGGGATTACCGCCCTTCACAAAGCTGGCAAAGGAGCTACGTAGCTTGCGGCACAGTTTCTCCTCCTCGGCACTGAAGCGACGCCTTGAAATCTGCTGAAATAAGCTCGGACCGAGCAGCAACGGTAAGTCCGAGCTATGCGAGGCACCACCAAAGAGATTCTGTCTGCCACGCATGTCCATCGAATGTGTTAGCGACTGGTCAAAGACATAGGCATAGCTGAGGCTGCCATTGAGCAGCTGCAGCAGACGCAGGAAGGGTGTCTCGTACAGCGACTCGGACAGCAGACGTTGCATGCCCCACAGCAGTCGACTGACTGACGAATCCTCGCCGAAATAACGCCAACGGATAGCGGCCAATTGTGCCTCACTGGCTCCCGCCTCCAGCTGCATGAAACGCAACACATTCGGCAACAGAGTGCTATTAATATAGCCATGTAACGGCACATGTCCATCGCGTGCCACGTCCAGCCAGTAATCCTGCAGAAAGGCGCCCTCATTGGAGCCAATGCCCAGCAGAAGTGGCGGCAGTGAAGCATTCACTAAGAGCTGCTCCAGCTGACCACGCAGTTGGACACCCAGCTGCATACTGCCATTGCCATGATTGTAGACACTTTCGTAGGCACGCAACAAGTCGTCGGTGCTCTTGCGGCGTAGGCAACTCAACAGTTGTCGATGCTGTTGCTCCTCGAACTGACAGCCCAGCTTATGGACGAGCATTCGACCCGTGGCCATAATACGCTCTTGATGACCAGCACCCAAGGCGTACAGCACAGGACCGGGTGACATCAATATGACTTGCTTAAATGTCGTCGCATCTCCATCCGGCTGCAGTGCCATGGCCAGCGCTAGGATGGCACCACTTCCATGACCCAGTAGCGTCACCTGATCCGCATTGCCACCGAAACTGGGCGCATTGCGTTGCAGCCAATACAACGCCAATTGAATGTCACTCAATCCATAATTTCCCGGCAGCTGGCGATGATCCTGGCCCAGTCCCAGCCAGCCATAGATATTGCTGCGATATTGCACGCTGACCACAATGATGCCCTCGGCAGCGGCAAAGTCCAGACCATTGATGCGATTGCGTGGCCAGTCGTAGGCGAAATCTTCGCCGCTAATTATGACCAGCATTGGCAGTTGACCATAACGTAAGCCCGTCTCCGGCGTCCAGATGTTCAGATACAGACAATCCTCTTTGCTAGAAGTTGCTCGCAAAATGCTGCCATCGACGGTCTCATCATAAATGGTATTCGAGAGCTGTGGGCAAATCGGTTGCATCGTCGTTGCCTGCAGCGTCCGGTTCCAGCCATTGTGCGGTTTGGCAGGCTAAAACGAAAGAGATTGAGTTTGAAAAGGAATTTTAATATTAAAACTCTCTTTCTAGATACCCTTGGATGATGATGGTAAATTATAAATATAACAATATGTTTTAGAAATAATGTTGTCAGCTTTCATTCTTTTAGCTTACCGCAAATCGCAGTGGACCCAGTGGCGGCTGTGCATAGGGTATGCCCAGGAAAGCGTAGACTGCGCTTCGTGCTCCATCCGGAAAGATCTTAAGCTGAAAAATAGAAGAATAAGTTTGAAATGGTACAAGAATCTCTTATATATATTTTTTGATAAGACCTACGCCTATTAGATCACCCTCTTCCAGTTTGATATGCGTTTGTTGGGCCCAGCAGCCGTGGATGCTGAGCCAAGTGAATACCCCTAGCCAGTTAATGAGTACAAACATTTTCGTCTATTGGCCGCTTTTCACTTGCTAACACCTGAAGCTGCATTTATTAGTTATTGTTTGTATTTTTATTTATATGAATTAAATGTATATATTGGGTTTTTTTTTAAACTTTTTCCGCTGCAGTTTTTCAGCTAGTAGACTTCTGGACTTCTGGACGCTGGCACGAAAACTAAAAAAAAAAAAGAAATGAGCCCGTTGATGAAAATGTTGGCTAAAAGTTTCTGCTAGAATTATTTCAATTGTTTTGTGGTGTCATTATTGTTAATGCTGTTGCTGTTTTTGTGTTGTGTGCGCGCAGGAATCATTCATGCATTCATTAGAGATCAAAACGCCAGCGACACCGAAAACATTAAACAACCAGCAGGGTGGATTGTTGTTGGTTGTGGTGCAAGTATGTTTACATGTTTCAACACATACATACATACATACATATATACATACATATATACATACATTTGTACATACGTTGTGTTCGCGCTTTACGCAGAAGACTGGACCTGAACCCATAACTTTGAACCCAGAAACAGCGTCAATTGTTCCATGCGTTCATTATGGAGTATGTTATAGTAAATCTATAGCAGAGGGTTGCTGAAAATGTTTGGAATCAATAGAACTATACTTATTTTACTCCTATCTACTAAAAGCAACTTTTGTTGTTGCCCTCGATCTTCTTTGTTGACTTTTTTTATTATTGAGTTTTGATTTTGCTGCTGCTGTTGGAGAATGTAAATATTTGTACGCTTCACAGCCTGCGACTGTCTCTGTCCGTCTGACTGTCTTCCGTCCTGTTAAATGGAACTGTCGCAGCTTTTGGCCCACAGCAGATAATGTACCATAATATTTGGTTCAATTCCGGGCCAATGCGAGTAGAACAGTTTACCTCGGTGGTTGTTTTTACGTGTTGCTCTTTTTTTTTGGATTTTGCTGGCTCTGTTAGACGAAGCGCAGTTCCGGTGAATGGCTGTGGCTAGAGTTGGGAGATCGGAGTTCGCAATGCTCATAATTAACATCTATGTTGTCATAGAGACTAGCAGTTTTATTAGCGCACACGCTCATTTATGCATTTTAATTAGTTTCAAGAGTAATTTGGTACTGTTGATGCTGCTGCGTGAAAATCAACAAGCTCAGCAGAGGAGGAAGCGAATTTTTGTGTTAATTATGGGGCTACAAAACACACGATTAAAATGCCATTTGGCCGGAACTATTTTCTCTCTTTCCATCCATTTTGCTTGTGCTCTGTGGCAACTTAATCAATTTATGCCAGTTTGGATTTGCGCTTTGATTATTGTAAATAGCGATAGCAGCCTAGTTTGGTTAATGGGTCAATTTCTCTTTGTGAGTGTGTTGTAGGGGTATAAGCCAATTAGAATCGGCCGTAAATATAATATCGAGAGTTAAATTACCATATGAAATGGTATATTTCGTAGTTGGCTACGGCTTAAAACTTAAACTATTCGTATGTTCGAAAAAAGGTTGATTTATGCTACAATAAACTGTATTACAAACTGCCATATTTCCACTTAAATACACAGACACACATTCAGATTATCTCTCATCTAAATAGTTGGTGCTTTACCATTTGCAACAGATTCGGGCCACAAGCCAGCAAGTAGGCCAAAACAAATTAAGCTGTCAAATTGTTCATTTCGTTTTTGGCCATTTAGCTGTCGAACTAAGCTGTTGATCGTTGTTGCACATTGTTTTGACATTTGGCTTGGGTCCCGCAATGTTTTCAATAAATGTTCAGCACAAAAACCTGTGACACAAAGTTGGCCAAGCCCTTAAAGCACTTATTGCCAAAGTGGAAAACTAAAAATGTGCTGGCCAAAAACCAATGCAAATATTCGAAGCTACAATTGAAACATTTTTGTCAGCTACAAGAGAACAACAACAATAACAACAACAACAATAACCATAAGAACAATCATTGCAAAATTGACATCTGAACACTCGGAGGGCAATAATAACTACTGGTTGCATTTTGTTAGAGCTGTTCTAGTTTTGTTGTAATATCAATTCTTTGGGACTGAACTGATTGTTTACATATTGCCAGAGGACAATATTGGAAAATTCTTTATAAAATTTAACTTCAATAAAATCCAATTGTTGCTGGCAGTGTGTAGACATTGCTGCTATTATATTAAAATTACCAAAAGTTTCCAAACACAGCAGATGGAGAAGGAGGAATGCAGGGAAAGGGGTAGATGATGTAAATGGAGTTGTTTGTTTGGATGACTGAGCTCTTGTATACTCGTAATTTAATTTCGATATATATTTTTCAAACAATGCATTGAATTATTTGTGTGCTTGTGCTTTTAGATTTTATCTACTTTTTGGTTTTTGTTTCAGCATATTTGCAACTCACTAAAGTGTAACCATTGTGGATTTTACACAAGGAAATTCTTAATGCTGGCTTTGCCAACAATTTGTCAGCACTTCGAAACAATTTAAGTTGTGGTTGCCCGGTTCATAAAAGTTCGGAATTCAATGCGACAGCGCTGGGGGAATGCCCCAGATACTTGTATAGAAACTAAACAAAATAGTCTTCGTAACCTTGAAACTGGACATATTACTTTCTGATTTGTTCTCTTTTATATTAAATATTAAATATTTACTATTTTATTTCATTTACTTTGAGTTTAAAATGTTTACATTTTATAGTTATATGCATTTGCCTGAATTTTGTAATCAATTATTTAACCTAAAGTTTTATTGTTAATTATCTTCATTTCATATTTACCCAATAAATTAGAATAATAATTCCCATGTGCAAAAGTGTAACTTAACTCAATTTACAATAATAACAACCACAAAAACACTCGCTAACAGCAACATTGAATAAGTGCATTAAGTTGTTTCGTGGAACAACAGCGCGCAGCATAATTATGTAATTAGGCTAGAACAACAACTGTGCCAGCAATTTGCCCAAAAATATCTAACAAAACATTGTACAAGGCTGTTGTTGTTGTAGTTTTTGTTTCATTTGTTGTTGTTGTTTTTGGCTTAAGCCTAATTTAACGGCGCAGTAGACAAACAATGTGGAAGGCATTTTGTTGATGCAACTAACCACACGACTTGCACTCAAGCATTATTTAGATGGGCGTGGTGCAAGGGGCATGCAGCTGAATGCTGCACACTGCATGTTTAACACGCGCTCGTTTCTAATTAATGCTAAAAAATTTGACTAAAAAAAGAACTGAGCACAAAGGAGAACCGCATTTTCGTTGGTCTATCTGCTGGAAAGGGGGAAAGTTAACGGGATGGGTACAAGGGAAATAGTTGTAAAAGCCACTTCTTCAGCGCTTTTGTTAGGCGTTTCTGTCTGCCACAAGAGCTGACAAAAAGTGGCGACATAAAAACTGAACATATGCAGCATGTCCTTGACAATGTCAACAGCATCCAAGCAGGCGCACAGAAGTGACCGACAGAGGTCGCTTGTGTGACTGTGAGCAAAGATGCTTAAGCAGCTTTAGCTGGAAATTGGGACTGAAACCATCTACTCATTTGTGGGACATAATAATTTGGAATAGCAAGCACAACAAACAACCGCTAGGCTACTGGAGAGCAGAGCTACGAGATGGGTGTCAATCAGTTTACAAATATGCTCGCAGAGGACTTCAATTAGACCCGATAATGATTGTCAGCTTGTACCCAAGTTGCCAAGTTGCAACATGTCATCGACTGGCGTGTACTAGGAGCAGTAACTAATGTCCAGAGTCAGGGAGACTTCAATTACCCGTGGGCTTTTTCTGCAGTAAGTTCAACAAACGACAGTTTGTGGTACCATTCGATTTTTATCGATCTCTTGAGGTAGTTACTCGAAATAGCTTTCAAAATTTGGTGACTCTAGCTTACAAAACTGCGTAAGATATGCGCACTTCTCGGTATCAGAGTATACAAATTGGGTAACAAACTTATTATGCACTTATTTAATAAATGAAAAATGTTTAAGCTTGTTGGTAGTCCCTCTCAAAGCAACACGTTGTTCTTTCTGTATTAATTACTGTTAAATTTACCCAACTTATTCACTTTACAAAGTGATATGCTGATTTCTATATGAGCATAATTATATGTAATGTAATTAAATGCACTTACCAATGTACCCCCGTTCGAGACTGGCTTCCTCCGCAAACTATGAACTCCTTATTTGCGAAGCAAGTGTGTGCAATAACCGCGAAATTTCATTGCATGCTTTTAGGCGGGCGCTTTTGTGAGGCAAAGCCGCAGAAATGCAATTTATTAATTTGCAAGTGAAGAAATTGCTGGCTAAAAGTTTTAGATCTATATTTGTGTGTATGCCTACATGTGTATACATGTGATTACATGCGCATCCTGGAAGAAACTCACCTGGTTGGAAAACTATTTTCGGGAGAGGACAGCGACATGTTCCCTGCTGCTTGCTAAAAACTTTGCTAATTCGTTTTGCAAAGTTTTACCAAGGTGTTGAGTGTGCCAGCGACTTGTTAATAGAAACTACATTAGCTGGTTAGGTAATAAATGAAAAGAAAAAAACAGTTTGCAAGTCTCTCATTTCATTTAATTTTTATTCAAAAATCACATTTGTTGTTGTTTTATTTTTGTTTTCGTTTGCTGATTCGGCGCGAGCTGCTGTTCAATAATATAATAATTTTTACTACATTTTTTTTTTTATATATATAGTATGCTTACTAGATTGAAATTTTCATTTATGTAATTTACATTTTTTTTATGCTTCTCCGTTTGTTGTTAATGTGGCTCTCTCTTTTCTTTTGTCTTGGAACCCTTTTCTCTGTATTATTGCCTTAAGCTTTAACAATTTTTACTATGCAATAACTTAAGCACATTTACTTGAATTATTTCATTGTGTAGCAGCTGAAGTACTGTATGTATTTATCAACTGTTTATATATATTTATGTACAAAAGTTCATTTGTTAAAAAATCAAATTAAAAGCGTTGCATGCTCTTGGGCGTACTTTTCCATTCAATTTCACACCTCAAATTGCAGTCGCATTTATGTCTATATAAAATTACAAAAATGTAATTAAATCAATTTTTAAAAGTGACAAAAACATGTTATGCACACAGAACTCAATTGAAAGTACAATAAATGGCCAAGTGAATAGGTTCAACACCAATTCGGGAATTCTGCTGTATCTAACTTATACATAAGGATTGTTCTTATTTTTTTGGGTAGAGGGGCTTTTCTAACGAAATTGCTGGTACATATTTCTATAGGCTCAGGTCTTATTGTCTGCTTTTAAGCCTCGCTCTCTCTCTCCGCTTTTTGTTTTGAAATATTCATTATAAATCATAATATATTCATAGACTAAAAAAAAATTTGTGCAACTTCAGTTAACTTAAAGTCATAATTTAGAATTAACTATATTTATATATATATATTTTGTGTTTAATTTAGTCCCGACTTCAAATACTAATTTTGAACTTTTAGCTGCTGACTGAACCTATTCACATGCTCATTTTTGTATAAATGTATATTTATTAATGTTTTTTCTTTTAAATCAGATGATGATTCAATTTCAGTGCATCGTAACGAGCACGATGAGCAAACAAAAAAGAGGAGGAAAATAATAATAAATTGAAATGCATTTTGCAGGTCGGCGTGGCCCTCATCTGTTAAATGTGGCAAACTAATTGATTATGCTCAATTATCTTAAAAATGCAAACGCAATAAATTGAAATGCATAAATCTATATATACGATCATACTATCATATACTATATATTTTGCTGCTGTTGGTAGTATTTACTATGTCAATCGTATCACAACATTTATATTTCGCATTTAATTTTGTTTATATTTTATTTTATTTTATTTTTTTGTTGTTAATGGTTGATTAACATTTTCTGTTAGCTGCATATATAATATTCATTTATTATTTGTGATTAGTGGTTGGGGGACAGGCGAAATGTGTTGCACATAGTTTTTGATTTTATTTTCGTATCGTGTTTTTTTTTGTTTTGGCTTGTCAATATCAATTAATTAAATTAATGTGCACTGTTGTGTAAGATTGTAGATTTGGTTTTGTTGTTGGTCAATTGTACGTCTTTAGTTTTTTTTTGTGTTTTTTTTTTGTTATATTTTTGTTGTTAGTCAAATTTGTATAAAAAGTGGCATAGTCTGTTTCTTGTTTGTGTCAAATACAAATGCACAAAATACGAGTATAATACAAATATTTTACACACAGATACAAAAAAGTAAACTCACTGTACAAAAATTTCTTGTTTGGTTTCTGAATAGAGCTATATGTTATTTTCTATGTATTGCTTGTTCCAGTTTTTCTTGTATTGGTTGTATTGTAGACATGTGTGTGTGTATGTGTGTGTGTGTGTGTGTGTGTCTGTCTGTGTCATGTCCTCAGCCTGGAATTTTTGATTATTATTTAACAGTAAACGCAGAAAATATTTGAAATATTTGATTTATGTGCATTCTGATCCTGATAGGGCGAATTCATTGCATTCGTATCTATCCCTCGTCTCTCTCGTCTCGTTCGTCCTTCCGCCTGTCAGATATTTTTCCATTTACATACATATTTAGCATATTGCATTCGTGTGTGTGTGTGTGTGTGTGTGTGTGTATGTGTGTGTGTATTTATATTTGTATATGTATTGCTGATAAACATTTCCAATGATAAATGCTAAACAATTTGCATGGCAGTCCAGAGTTGAGGCAATGCTCCTCAGAGATGCACTGAGTTAGGAAGTGTTTCTCTCTCTCTCGCTCTCTGTCTATCTCTCTATATCTCTCTCTGTCTACTCCTTCACTTTTATGTTGACTTCTTTGGCAGCAACTCATATCTGATATGTTTAGGCTAAACATTATTGCTACATTTTACATTTTACGTATGTATTTCGTGTTTTCTACTCTTATTGCCCTATGCACTTTTGTAAGTAAAGAAATCTTAAGGAAAAACAAACTAAAAACAATCACCAAAAGAGGAAAACATAATAATAAATTTCCATGAAAATAAAACAAAATTATTGATATTATATTTTATATGTTTTGTGTATATTTCTGTAAAAATATGTATAGATTTCTTTGTACACATATCTATTGTTAATTAAAACTAAATGTAAAAAAGTAAGAAAACTCTCATATGTATGCATTTGATATGCGAGCGTATAACTAATAGAATTGCATATTTATAATATTTAATTGATTGCTACAATATATATATATATATATATATATATACATATGTATATTAAATGGCCGCATTAAAAGCTAAAGCTAAAGCCGATATACAATTTCTATATTAAAATATGCACTCTTGAACTGTTACTGTAAAATGGAAATTGCACATTTAATATAAGAGTCTAGAAATAAAATATTAAGCATTAATTAGGAATACACAGATACGAATGAAATGAAGACATTTACAACTATTTCTTAAATACCCTCGCAGCGGCATTACAATTGACTAAAGTGTTTGATAAAAGTGTTGACTATTATTATTTTTGAATGGTATCTTTATGGAACAATCGGAATGGCATTGTTCCCTTTACGGAAATATCCAGCACAAAATGGATTTACATTGTTCAGCCAGTGTCTGCAAGGATATTCTTCGGCCTCACGCCGAAGACAACTTTTGTTTCTTGAGTTTGTTGTTTTTTTGTGCACGTTGTGGCATGGCTGAAGAGTTTCGTTCACTTGTAGCTGTTTATATTTGTTTGTCGTTTTTACGAAATAATGGCCACAGTTTTCATTTTTAATAATAATAATAATAATAATTATAATCGATAAGGAATATCTTTGCAAGCTTAAGCCCAATCATTTTCCATTAGTATGCAACATAAGAAATGGCTACAGACACACATACATATATCAATAAAAACACTATCTAACTATACATACATATACACATAAGGATATATATTACTTACACATACATACATATATCGTATCCTTTCAGTATATCATATCAATTGAGTTACAACAATTACAATTACATACATACAAAAAACATTTACACATACAAAAATCAAACGCGTCGCTTTTACACAGTACAAAATCGGCTACTTATGTATATATATATATTTATATACATATACATATATATATATATCGTATATTGAAAATTTGCTGGGCTAATTTAAAATTAGCAAAAATGGCATTCCGCTCGCACTTTCTGCTCCCACGGCAGGGAGGATAACTTAATTAAGCCTAATCAGAGTCCGTCTATATACATATACAAATCTGGTGTGTGTCTGTATATAACTACATGCATATCTATATATATATATATATATATGCCGAATGCTATTTAGTTACATACATATACATATACATATATACGCTTCATAAATCCTAACTAATTTCTTCTACTAATAATAATTAACATAGTTTGCGGCGCTTAGCAGCGTCAATAAACAGCAGCTTATGAAGTCTCTGTGTATTTATGTGTGGATGTATATATATATACATATATATATATATATATATATATATGGACTGCTGTGTGTGTGTGTGTGTGTGTGTGTGTGGGTGTGCGGTAGGGGAATCTCAGTACACTTAACGCTTGTAGCTATTACCGATCTGCACATATCGCTAGCTGCCAACCAACTCGATCTGGCGATACTTTTTGCGCAGATTGGAGACTGGATCGCGATACAACATGGGATCCATGCGCAAATTGGAACGTATAAGCGGCATGTAACTGTAAATACACAATCAAAAACAGAAGAAGAAGAAGAGAATTAGGCCATGTTCAACTATAGTCTGTATATATTAATATATATAGTTCTGATAGCACAGATTTGTACTCACCCAAAGACCGCGGCGAATGTGTTGAGACAGCTCTGACGCTGTATGAAATGATCGGGATCATTCCATGGTGAGCGTCCCGTCTCCCGATCCTTGTAACCCTTGCGCTGCGTCACTTTGATCGGCGGTTTTCTGGTCACGTGCGAGACCAGCAGATTCATTAGGATGTCCTCACAGTTGGAGGACTGCTGTACAGTCTTTAATAGCAGCAACGACAGCCAATTGGTGTACAAGTAATTGTAGTAGCGGTGGTAAAACGCCGCACCCGTCAGCACAATCGAATAGTAGTTTGTCCACTTGGACGTATAACCCCAGGCATTCTGTAAAGTGATTAACAACAGCAACAACAACAACAATAAGCCACAAATTACACACATAGACAAAGCTTGGGTCTTGTCTCACCTTGGAATCATCCCAGAAATGTGCTCGGGCCGGATAGCCAACAATGCGTTCTGGAAAGTCACGCCAGACCGTGTAGGCAAAGTCCAGTTCATCCGTATTGAGTATGGCATCCTCGTCGAGCGACAGCACTGCATCTGTCTGTATCTCATCGTAGGGCAGGAATCTCTGTGATATGCTTGGCCTCGCCTCCGCACCTGTCTGTACCGTGGGCGTGGCCGCTCCACGCGAACTACCGCCCAAGGCTATAACATGCAGCGGTATGTGAAATGTGGGCGGCCACCGTTTCTTAAGTGGCAACGGTCGATCAGCGGCCCACAGAACGAGTATCTGTTTGAACAGTTCAAGAAATAAATATCAGAAATGGACCAGAGAACATTCCCATCTTTTTAAATATTTAGTCCATAAAGAGTTGAGGCATTTTACACATCGAATAGTACATTAAATGCTTCGGCTTTGCCTGCACTATTGATTGGACTTTTGTATTCTTTGAGTGTGGGGGGAGGGGGGTGGAAGAGGTAATCTATCACATTGCATGTGTAGCAATTGGACAATTGCAATTTGGATACTTACTCTATCCACAAATTGGCTCTTCGTTATGGTCCTGACTAGTTTGTAGAGGGCCGCATTGGGGCCAAGAGCGGCGCCAATTTGCACATAGATAACGGCCGTGTAGTTGTGACGCGGCTCCATACCCATCGCATTGAGTAGAAAGGGCATAAATCTGAAACGGGCCACAGGCAATTAGGTTAATGGCAAAACACTTCAATGCGCCCAAAATGGCATCGAATGTAAATTTAATTAGGCACGCCAACTCTACTGTGCCTGTATAAATGCCTGACTCTTACCTAGAACTATCCGCAAATGTGGGAAGCGTGAGGAGGGCGCCCGGCGATGAGTTCCAGATGAGGTTGCTCCTTACCGGATAATCGGGCAGTCGTTCGCGAATTATCTGTGAAAAGAGGAGAAAATCAAACGGTTGTTTAATACCACCAAAAGGGAACTCAAGTGGCAAGGCGATTGCCAATTGATTGCTTAATGAACGGTTTCTGCACTTCAATTGGTCGGCCAAATTGCGTTTTCAATGGCACTCGACGCCAGCCGCTTAAGCTGTCTGTCTGTCTGTCAGTCTATCTGTCAGTCAGTCAGCCAGTCAGTCAGTCTGTCTGTCTGTCCATCTGTCTGTTTCTCTTTCCGTCTGTCTGTCGGTCTGCCAGTGTGGCAGTCATTCAATGTGCATTAATTCAAAAGGCCGCCAAGCTGTTGCCTAATTTTCCGCTCCACGCAGCTGGGAGCCAAACAACTCCCCAGAGGAAAACCGCTAGCCGCAACTTCCGCAGTGGCAGGGAAGCCACGCGGGGAACTAAAGTCCCAACGATACCTCAACCCCCTCTCTCTCTCTCTCTCTCTCTCTCTCTGTCTGTCTGTCTGTCTGTCTGTCTGTGTCTCCCTCTCACACAAGTGCTAAACACAGCAGCTGGGAGTTCGCTGTGTGTTTGTGCTCACCCAGCAGCAACGCGTGTCATTAACGCCCATTAATTTGTCGCTCAAAGTGAGAATTATGTGTGTATGTTTGTGCATATATAACGCCTTAAAAGTATGCCACGCTAATTTAGCTATGCACATCAAGCGAGACAGACAGAGACAGAGAGAGAGAGAGACAGCGAGACAGGGAGTGAGCGTGGCAAAGAACGAGAGAGTTGCCAAATCCTTATACACTGCACTGTAGAAAAACAAAATGTACTTTATTGGCATCCAAAAAAATAAAGCCAAGATTTTTGATAAAAACTAACAGCACTTTGAAGCATTAGCCTGACAGATAAGATTTAATTAAAAACTGTCGACAAAAGTTTTTAGCATTAATTTACCAAGAGTGAAAGTAGGATTGAAAATTTCAGTTTCAACAGTTTTGGGCTTATTTTGAAAATTGAAATTGTTAAAAAAAACTTGCTCAAAAATGACATTTTGATTTTCGATGAAGTAGATCTTTTTGCGAAAAGTGCACAGGTTGTTTAGCTTGGGAAACTGTCATTATAATTGTTGGACTAAAAGCAAGTTACGAGTGCGACGTGTGCCCCATGAAGATAGCAGTGGCAGAGGGGGCAGTAGCAGGAGCAGGCACAGGAGCAGGAGCAGGCGCAGGAAATGCAGCTGGAAATGCGGCTGATGCGGCTGATGCGGCTGCTGCTGCTGCTGTTGGCGTGGGCTCAACTCATCGGGTCTTCATCTGGCACGCTCTTTTGTGTGTGGATAAAACAATTCAACTGAAGAACAATTGCATTTAAATGCTGGGTTGAGAGTTGGAGGCGCAATAGAAATATCAACTGCACGGTAGAGATAAAGCATACATAAATGCGGACTGTATTTATATAAGCCTATATAATTAAGGAACTCTGCATTCATTTCAATTATTATTTTATGTTCGAATTTTATTATGCATCTTTTCAGCTTTGACTCGGCCTTTGGCTTGTGAGCTTATGTTATGAAGAAAATCGTTGCATCCTTGTTTAAATACATCTTATAATCCTCTAAATGCAATAAAGACAATGTCAACTATGTTGGCAAACAATTTAATTAAATGTATAGCACATATTAGTTGTGGAAACAGATGTCTTCCGTTCACAACTGTTGGAGATTTAGTGGACTTTCTGTCATCGTTCATGGGACTCTGTTTATTATGCCATGAGGCAGTCTCATCTAGCGACTGTCTGACTTGCTGCTCCGACAGCTTCTCAAGGGCCTGCTTTATTTTGTAATTATAATTTCTTCACTATTTTATAGTTTTTTTTTGTTTGGGTTCTCTATTTTATTTAAGTTATTTCCCGCTGCTTCGCATAATCAACGCAGAGCGCAGAGGGGCGTCTAAGAGCATGCGAGGCGCGTGTTTATTTACCTTTTCAAGTCGAGTGTGTGTATGAGTGTGTGTATGAGTATGTGTGTGTGTGTGTGTGTGTGTGTGTATGAATGTGGGTGGCTGACATAATTAAGTCAATCTTGTTGCTGCTGCTGTTGACGTTGCTGCATAATTGAGAACAAGCGAGGAGTCAGCAAAGACCGAGCGACTGCACCCAACTCTCGTCTCGTCTCTTCTCGTCTCTTCTCGACTCTACTCCACTCGTTTTGTCTATGATTCAATTATGCAAGGTGCATATATGCGCAGGTTTAGTCCAGGTCAGGAGAGGCCCAAGCAAATATTTGGCATTGCCATTTTAATTGGCTAACAAAGTGCTTTAATTGACTTGAAGTTCGCCGAGTTCCATTTTTAAGACGCATTTTCCGTTTGCGTAGTTTTCCGCTACCTGTGTAATGAGACCCGGCTACAACAGCTACAACTTGACCACGTTTGCTTAAGTGGCAGCAAGTTGGATTCCACTTTTTCCCTGTTTTTATTTTTAAGCGACTTAAGCAACTGAACGACAGTTTGGCCAACTGGCAAGTGCCATTTACTCCGACGGCCTGATTTAGCCAGCTTGCCAGCTAGAAAACAGCGAGTGAGTGGAAAATATGGTAAAAGCTACAGCCGAGTTGAGACTGGGCGCAAAAACTCAATAGAGCGCATAATGTGTGCAAATAAAACAGGTGAGTGCATTTTTGGGCGTGGACGTAGGCGTGGGCGTGCCAACTGCTTATGCAAATGCTTGTGACTCTGACATGGATACAGATACAGATACACATGCTTATCTCTCTGGCTTAGAGTAGCTGTATTTCCAACATCAGCTCAGCCTTCCCCCCTTAGCCAAGTCAAGGCGAATGCCATTTTCGAGCCAGCCTAAAAGCAGGCTACACAAATTACTGTGCAGGCACGCAGCACTAAAAGGAAATTTACTCAAATTAATTGCATACATTGCAGAAGCTCTTTGGCCCAAACAAAGTTGCCTTTGCGATTTAACATTTTACGTTTTGGCCATTTGCAACTGCTGCTTCTGATGAAAATCAAATAATTTGCTGAAATTTAAGCTTGATGCAGCTCAACTATGTGGAGTATGTGGCATGGTATAAGTGTTTGTGTGTGTGTGTGTGGCAAGTAGTTTCCTGTTTGTTAATTTGCCTTTTAAATATTTAGTGCTCTCAACTTTACTCGTTTGCGATTTGTAACCGACAAACTTCACATTGCCCGCTAATCTTACACTCTGACAAGCTTTGATAAAATAAAAGTAAATGTTAAGTTTTGTTTCTAAAGAATCGCAAAATGTATTAAAGCTGATAGGAGTGAAAAGATTTCAAGCATTTTTTTTTTATGCTCGACACAATTGTTTGCGTGCTTGTGAAATCTGCTCGCTTTAAGTGGCACGCATAAGCGGAAATCGCATTCAAATTCACGTTTGCATTTGAATTTCGCATAAGCAAGCACAAAAAGAGCGTATTTACTGATGTTTTGCAGCATAGTTTCTGGGGCGCAAAAGTTCAAAGCGTCGACAGCTGCATACATAAAATGTGCAAGCAGCCAGCAACCAGCAACCAGCAGCAAGCAGCTAGCAGCAAGCAGCACACACATAAAATTTGCAGTTGCAGTTGCAGTTGGCAAAAGTTGCAGTCAACGACACCAAAACAAGCAACCAACCAACGAAATTCAGCTGAAGTTGCACAACTTGCTAATGTTGTCCCGCTTGATGCTGTCATTTCATGCTGTCCTACACAAACATACACACACACACACACACACACACACACACAGAGAGAAATCCAGTAACAAGAATATTTCTGCTCAAGACAGACACGAAATTAACTTAAGCTAAGGGCAGCTTGAAGTACGAAGAGGAAAATTGTATGTAAATGCTTGTCAACTTTTGCCAGCTGCCGATGCAAGTTGCAGTGGCAAGAAACAAGGGCAAAACTGCATAAAACTCGCAGCGACTTTGGTTTAAAATTAACAAACGACCAAGTCGCTGCTGTATAAAGTATAAACTTAATGCCGACAACATAGCGTATACGTAATAAGCTGTCCTTTAGTCAATGTGTATTTGCACAGCCCAACAACAAGTGGCCCGTAAATAATGTTGAGTGCTAGAACTCGCTCGTACAGCACTCGCACTGTTTTAATTAAAAAATTAAATAACAAACTGAATAAATAGAAATGGTAAATAATTTCAAATGTTTGTTGCTGCCGAATGCACAAAAATTTCCATGTAATTTACGAGCGTGAAAAATTCTGCATACAATATTAACACAAATCAAATGGGTTTCACTGGCGTACTTTGTACTCTGCTTAAATAAAGTGGAAGTTAAATTGAGAACTGTCATAACTATCTGTTAAGATGCGTAATCTGAATGGAGGCTCAAGAGTGTATATAAATATGTTTAGGTATAAAGAGAACTCTGTGTTCTCTTATAACTATGATTGTCTTTTTCATTATGTGATTTTTTAATATTGTTTTAATTAAAGTGCATTTTATAGTCGACTTTTAATTATTAATTTATAACTAACTTGTTTACTATTTATTTGCACTGCGGTTTTTAGCATGTGACAGAAACATGCCCGCAAAAATATTACAAACGGAATTTGCAAACGCTTTTGAAACACAATTCGTTTTTATATTATTTATTGCTTTAAATACCTTTACAGAGGGTTATTAAGCTTTGTCACGGGGTGTGAAACATTTTAATGAAAAACATATAAGAGAAAAGCTGACATCGAAATTGTTGTTCCAAGTCTGAATTATTATGTTTTTTATTGTATTGAATAGGAACATAATTTATTTGTTGTTTTTATGATGACTGTTAGAAGAGTAAATTGTGAGTAAAGTGTATTCCATGCTCGTCATGCCGAAAAAAGCGAATCATTTTTGTTTCATGTTTTTTATGTTTAGAAGTTTTGTGCAAATATTTATCGATTTGAACGCACTGTTAATCAAGAGACACTGGACAGAAAACTGGTACAGCTTCATCTGCATAACGATGTGTAAATGGGTATTGGATTATTTTTTTCGATAGCTAACAATTTGCAGTTTAAATTTACTTTATGTTGAAAGTTTTTTTTTTTTTTTTGTTGAATACACATTTTGTTTTCGCCATATTTCGCAGCCATTCGCTTCGATCTGGCTTATGTCGAGCGAAAACGTCATTTGCCATGACTTCAAAACTTTAAGCTCACGATGATGTCATTATTGTTGGACCAAAGTTGTGCTTGGCAAACGTCAACAGCAACAATAACAACTCCAACAACAAGAACAACAACAACAAAGAGCTGAAGTTATTGAAGCTGCTTTGACAAATTCGCTTAAAGGCAACGACAAACAAGTTTTGAGCGAGAAGCTAACAAACTGAGAGCTGAGAGCATTAGGGTCGAAGCGTCTGCCTGAAATTTGTTTGTTAGTACAGTATTTATTGGCCATTGATAGGCAGTCAGATGGGAAAGTCAATATACATAAATCATCAGCTGCGCAACAATGGACAACGGATACAAATTTATGCATAAATATTTGGAAAACTGTACGAAATATGATTTCATAATTCTGCTTGTGTTAAAAGAGCAAACTGTTTGTGCCTTGGGCTACCAGAAAACTTGTTAAACACCTTATTGAATTACAATTTATGAACTAAATTCAAATCAAAGTAAAATATCTTATTTACTTTGTGATGAATAAATAACATTCATAAATATTATTATTGGATTTAATAACATAAGAATCTGTAGAATAATTGTTAGAATTCACGTTCTCTATGATTTTTTGGTTAATATATTTAGATCGAATTTGATATTGATGCTAGCCCAAAATACTCGTATTTGTATAATTTTAATTGCATATTTTTATTGCTCTTTTTATTTTTAACAAACGAGTTTTTAGTATTCCAAGGCCTGTTTAGGCCTTGTACGTTATGAAAATTGAACTTTTATTCTGCTGGATACTCAAATCGTTATAATTTTGAATTCTGTTTAGTATCGATATTTTCACGAACACTTTTGTTAATGTTCAGCCGACTTGAGAGCAAGTTCGTCTTATATCAAATGAAGAGGTGTAAAAAATGTAACAAAATTCTTATCAATTTATGACCTTAATGTAATCAATTAATCAAGCTAAACGACAAATTTGACGTCGCGAGTCGTCACAAACAAAAAAAAAATGCTGGAAAATGCTTGGAAGAATGACACCAGCAAAAGTTGTGGACAAATGATAAGCACAAAGTAAAATAAACAAAAAAGCATTAACGAAAGGCAAAGAAAACAACAATAATTCTACCGGTTTTGCTTAGCGTTAATTAAACCTAATTAGCTGAACTGTACCAGCATTTGAAGCACACTCGAACAGAATTATAATTCGGCAAGACGTAGCATAAATATATGTTAATATTGCCCAATGTGCTCAACGGCGACGCAATAATTATAAATAATATGATGACGTCACATTGAAGAGCCATATGTGCGACCAAGCCAGCGAGCGAGCGAGCGAGAGAAGCGACACAGCGACGAAGCATACAATATTTGTTGACGACGAGGTCTGCGTCATATTTTAAATTTTAAGGTCAGCTGCTTTTGCACTGGCTTTAAGTTGATGACGTCACGGGCGTGCACGTAACTGATAAGCCCTTCTACTGCACTCGAAGTAACAGCTGGCATTGGCTTTAACCATTGGCCATCAACAATAAAGAGAGAGAACTATGTGCTCTGCAAAAGCAATGTCAAATTGTAAATGCCAAGAGGGTGTGTGTGTGTGTGTGTGAGAGAGAGACAGAGAGGCGGCATGCACTATTCTCAATTTTCTATTCTCTATGCTCCGTTCTACAACTATGCATATGCTGTATATGTTTGCATGCAAGTGTGCGTGTGAAGATTGTGTGTGCAAAAAAAAATTTGTTGCCGGCTATAAAAATATTTGCGGCCGCTAAAACAACAGATATGCCTGAAAAAAAGAAATTGCACAGAGAGTGAGAGAGAGCGAGAGAGCATTCGCTCAGAGTGTGGAATAATTGTTGTTGGTGTTATTGTTATTGGTGCTGTTGTTGTGCTGATTATTTATTGTTATTGCCGTGGCATCCCCTAGGAATACGAAGCAGGTCGCAGCAGGTTGGCAGCCCTAACCAAAAACTGCGACCAGTCAGCCAGCATGTCAATAAATATTTCATTTATGACAAGTTGACATTGAGCATCGAACGCCCACCCGAGTGGGTGGGGGATGGGCAATGTTGACTGACTATTTCATAAATTGTGTGCCTAATTGAACTGAAGTCAATAATCGAGTTGAATGACAGACAGAGAGAGAGAGAGAGAGAGAGAGAGAAGTCGGGCTATATGTATACGAGGAATGTGCATTAAAATAAATATACAGTAAAAAGAGTAAGAACAACTTAAAATACAGTACAAATTGTCTTTAGTATGTAGAGAAGTAGAAAAAGTAAATTCTCAAGATACAAAGTAAAGAAATAATTGATTATATTAAGCACATCTATTTTCCGATCGACTCTTATCTTTGAGCAATTTTCAGCAGTCTTTTACTTTCCGCCATTGAAATCAATTTGCATTTTGTTCTATGCTCAACTTACTGGAGTGCGTACATTAACCCAATCTCTAAATCGAAAACTTTCATATGCACACATGCATACATACTCGTAGATGCTTCCACACATGTTTACAAGCATGCATACATTCACATGTATAAATATTTTGTGCTCTGGCATTGATTTCGTTGAATTTACTTTGTGTTTTCTATTTGTGGCTCTCGCTCAGCTGCGCAACTAATACAATAGCAGCGGCGTTCTTAGCAGTTCAAACACAAACAACAACAAGAACGAAAAAGAAAGCAGCAGCAAATAAATGCCTTACCAAAGCAACAGCAGTGAACGTTGGCAGAGCGTAGCCACCATTTGAGCATGTGAGCGAGTTATCCATGACCGTTGAGAGAAAGAGTGAGAGAAAGAGAGACAGTGAGGGTGAGCGAGCGAGCCAAGCGCGCTCCGTGTGAAACTTGCAAGTTATTATTATTGTTGTTGTTTCTATATGGCTGCCGACTGAGACGCCAACTGAGACGTCGACTGAGACGGCGACTACTAATTTCGTCGATGATGATGACGTGTGCGAGGCTTTCGTGCGAACGGCCAACGAGCCGCAACTTACAGTAATTTCTCAACAGTCAAAGCAAGCGGACGCGCAGTATCGCAGTAGACTTGGATATACCTCAAAAAAAAAAACACACACACAAAACAAAACAGCTGAAAATATTTAAGCACTTGTGTACTTAAAACGTTCCTCAATTTAAAAATAACAATTATAAAATAAATAAGTAAAAAACAAACACAAAATGACTGGACGCCGCGTTACTTTAAACACACGCGTCTCACGCGCCTCAACATCGACGCCCGTTGGCGGTGCCTCGAGCTCGGGTCGAATGGGTGGCGCCACCAGCCCCACTAGCCCCACGCGCACCACCCGCATCCAGGAGAAGGAGGAGTTGCAGCATCTGAATGATCGTCTCGCCTGCTACATCGATCGCATGCGACACTTGGAGAACGAGAATGGCAGACTCACACAGGAGTTGCATTTGGCACAAGAAACCGTCAACCGGGAGACATCCAACGTGAAGGCCGTCTACGAGCGGGAGTTGGCAGCGGCACGCAAACTGCTCGATGAGACGGCCAAGGATAAGGCCAAGCTCGAGATCGATATTAAGCGCTTGTGGGAGGAGAATGATGATTTGAAGCAAAGGTAAAAGCAAACAACAAGCAAAATAGAATGGAAAAAATAACAAACAAAAAAAAAACAACAACAACAAACCAAAAGTCAAAGCTGACTTATCAGCACTCGCAGTGATGTCATATCTATGAGAGAGCGAGAGAGAGAGAGAGAGAGAGAGCGCGAGTTTGTGCTGGCTGATGTCATGCCGCAGTCGGCAGCGCACATGGCAGTCTCTCTCTCTCTCTCTGTATCTCTCTCTCGCTCTAGCACACACTGTCCATCCATCTCTCTTTGCTTTTGTTTATTTTTTGAATTTACGAAACAGAAATAACAATTCAAGCAACAACAGGCAAAGACGGCAAATATACAACTTGTGAGCACATTTTTCAACAATTTCACACAATTGCCACGATTTAATCGCTCGCTCTCCCAATATCTCTGTTTCTCTCTCTTTTTCTCTGTCTCTGTCTTAGGCGCTCTTGCGTTAAAAGGCAAAGCAAACGACACAAAATATGCGTCGTATACGTAATGCCTAAACAGAAACCGAAACCCTTCCAAGGTTGTAATTAAACAAAAGCGAACACATATTTTTGGTACACCTTCCATGTATATGTATATATATATATATATATATATATATATATATGTAGATGTATATATACTATATATACTATATATACTATATATGATGTCATTTCAAACCAAACATAATACGCAGCGCTTTGTTTTTGCTTGTTTGGGTGTATTTTCTGTTTGTAATGCCGACAAAGTGTATTACCAGTTTTGGAGTTGGACAAATGGGAGTTGGGGGGAGGGAGGGGGGGGGGGGGTCGCGGACGCACCCTCTCTCTTCTCTATGATGTCAACAATATTTGAGAATGTGGCGCATTTCGGATTTAAGCTCTACTCTTATCAACATGGGCAATATTTATTTTGGGTGTTTAACTGTGCTTAGGGAATCAACTTCGGGGAGTATGCGGGCTCTATTTGTTTGTATTTACATATTTATTTGTGTTTTAGGCCAGAGCTCAAACGCTTGTTAGCCACAATGACCAGATGGTTTTGATTTGTTTTTTTGTTTAGAAGATTAAAAGAGTTGCGTTGGCGTTGTGACAAGTCCAAAGCAACAGCTCCGATCATTTCATAAAGAAGTCAATTTAAACTCAACTAAAAAGATTTGTATTGTGTTAAATCTTATGCAAATAGATCATTTTAGAAAACTTATTCATTGTGAAATTTCCACAAAAATCATTAAATGTTTATGTTTTGAAAGTGTAGCAATCTTTACATCTAATTATACACACAAGCAAAGAATAAACTGAGAACTTGTTTTGGCGCACTTTTCACACTTTGTATTTTTACCACCAACCCCAAAAAGTTCTATCGATAATTAACCCACTTGCTCGATGTCAAAATTTAGGGCAAACAATAAGAAAAACACAAACAAAAAACAACCAATACACTTTCATAAATTAGGTTGCTGGGTAGCATTATAATTGATGTGCCCCAGTCATGGAAGAAGCGGAGGGTGGGAAATGGAATGGTGGGGGTATATATTTAGTGGACTCACACGCATGCCACAGCACTGAGAACAACCTTGGGATTGTCGTCTATTTATATTTTTATGTCGCTGATTAGCTTCAACAAATTATTGTTTATTTGTGGAAAATACGGTGAAAAAAACATTGAATTCGAGCAATTAACTGTATATAATTGTGTATATATATATATACATAATGACCATAAAAAACTATAGAACAAGTTGATTTTTTATTGCGGCGACCTTGCGTGCACATGTAAAGTGAAGTAGCATAATAATCAAATGCAAATATTTATTTAAATTATTTACTGTAAATAAAATCAATACTGTACTTTTTTTGTATTGTTGCTAAATTTAGCAAACACACAAAAACAAAAAACGTGCAAACCACGAGAGTCGCGGAGAACGACATTTTTTTTATAGATTAGTGGAATTTTTTTTAGGCAAATAAACAAGTTTGTTTCTAGCCAAACTGAAAAGAAACAGCCAACAAAAAAAAAAAAACGTTTGAAGTCGCATGGAACATAAATTAGATGCGTGAGAGCGAAAGAGAGAGGGAATGGGCAAAGAATGTAGATGGGTAGAAAATAGCCAGGCTAATTTATGCTAATGGCATCTGACGATTTCAAGGCAGCCACGCAATAGAAAGAAGAAAAAAAAACCATAAACGATGAATAATGCATAAGATCAAGCAAATATTAAATGAGCGAGGCACATAGAGAGTGAGAGAGTGACAGAGAGAGAGAGAGAGACAGAGGAAACGAGCGATCTGGAATCGCGTGTGAATCAGTCGTGACGTCATCAACAGTTTGTTGCACATGTCAAGTGATAAGCAATCGTATTAACAACATTCCACACACATTCCAATTTCATTCACAGACTCGACAAGAAAACTAAAGAGGCCACCGTGGCTGAGAACAATGCACGCCTCTATGAATCTCGTTACACCGAAGTGAATGGCAAATATAATCAGGCACTTACCGATCGCAAGCGGGCCGAGGATCAGGCCAAGGAGCTGGCGGTCGAGAATGAGCGATTGCGTCGCCAGCTGGAGGATCTGCGCAAGCAGCTCGAGGCGGAGACATTGGCGCGCGTCGATCTGGAGAATCAGAACCAGAGTTTGCGCGAGGAGCTCGCCTTCAAGGACAATTTGCACTCACAGGAGCTGACAGAGACGCGTTCGCGTCGCCAGATCGAGATCAGTGAGATCGATGGCCGTCTGTCCAAACAGTATGAGGCAAAGTTGCAGCAATCGCTGCAGGAGCTCCGTGATCAGTACGAGGGTCAAATGCGCGTCAATCGCGAGGAGATCGAGAGCCTGTACGACAATGAAATACAGAATCTCAAGGCAGCTGCCGCTCGTGCCGCTCAAGGTTCGTTGCATGCCACGGAGGAGGTGCGTCTCATGCGCACCAAGATCGATGGACTGCACAACAAAGTGCAGGAGCTGGAGAACACCAATGCTGTTCTAAATGTGAGTAGCACGCTCGGTTCTAATTGTCAACTTCTCGCGCTAATCTTGGACTTTTTTTTGCTTGCTAGGCACGCATCCGTGAGCTGGAGAACCTGTTGGACGCGGAACGTCAGCGTCATAATCAGTATATTGCTTCCTTGGAGGCAGATCTGCAGCGTATGCGTGATGAGATGGCCCAGCAACTGCAAGAGTACCAGGATCTGATGGACATTAAGGTGTCGCTGGATCTGGAATTGGCTGCGTACGACAAGCTGCTGTGCGGCGAGGAGCGTCGCCTGAACATTACCTCACCGTCTCGGGGCGCCGGCACCGATTCGGGCATCTCCAGCAATGGCACCCATTTGAGCGCCAGTGGCGGTTCCCGCTCTGGCCGTGTTACGCCCAGCGGACGCCGATCAGCCACGCCCGGCATATCTGGTTCGGGTGCCGTGAAACGTCGTCGCACCGTGATCGATGAGAGCGAGGATCGGACGCTGTCGGAGTACTCGGTGAATGCGGCCGCCAAGGGCGAACTGGAGATCATCGAGGCAGACACCGAGGGACGTTTCATCAAGCTGCACAACAAGGGCACCGAGGAGATCAATCTAACTGGCTGGCAATTGACACGCATTGCCGGCGATGAGGAGCTCGCATTTAAGTTCTCGCGCGGCTCAAAGGTGCTGGGTGGTGCCACAGCAACCATTTGGTCTGTGGATGCGGGCACCGCTCATGATCCACCTACAAATTTGGTCATGAAGAAGAAATGGCCGGTGGCAAACTCAATGCGATCGGTGCTGACCAATGCCGACAAAGAGGTGAGAGTCTTGTCGATATACAACACATGCGGCACTTGTGACATCTGCCGGCACTGCAAGCATCTCGAGTTTGTGCTCGACCAGTACGCAATACCATGAATTTAATCATCCCAAATGTGACTGAACTTATTTTTACTCTTTTTTTCGTGTTACAGGATGTTGCCAGCTACGACCGTGTCCGTGATAACGTTTCCAGTCATGTCTCGCGGCATCGCAGCAGTGGAACACCCAGTACCGGTTTTACCCTCGGTTCCGGAGCTGGATCTGCTGGAGTAAGAAGCCTCTTTTCGCTGCTCTTCTAAGGACTCACACAACACATACACAAACACTCTCTCACACACACACACACACACACAGAGAAGACTCAAGCACTCACCACAAAAAAAAGATGTTCTAGTTTAGAAGTTGAAAGCGTAATTCACACGTGCAATACACATTCACACATCAAATTGTGCTCTTTTGATGCATATCACACTTAATTGCAAGTTAATAAATGTACAACAACAACAACAACAAGAAACTATCTACAACAGCAACAATCATAATATTGGCTGGCTCTATGTATATGTTCAATATATGCTTAAGACACTGTTTAAACATTATTATTTTTTTGTATAATTTATAAATGGCAAAAAAAAGCATTTGATAAAAATAAAATACGTTTGAAAAATATAAAAGAAGCGAAAAGAATTGAACGAAACTTAATTCAAATAAAACACCAAGAGCCCTGGACATGTCCAAAATTCAATTAATGGCTCAGCCAAGCAGTTGGCCAAGTTTGCCCAGCAAACTTTTCGCTCAGAGCCCCCAAAGAAAATCAGCTTAACGCGCGCTTGCCAAGATTTGCACAGAAGTCTTCGCCGCTTGGCTGCTGTCGCGGCATTTACCTCCCCCCCCTTCCACCCGTTCCTCCCTCCACACCGCGTCGCTTGCAGTAGTAGTAGTTCAAAGAAAATGGACAGTAAGCAGGTGAAATTAACTACCACAAGCAGCTACCTCGAAAGAAAAACGGATTCGAGGATGGCTTGCACCGTACGAAAAGCGAAAAGGAATTTGGGTCAAGAAGCTTAGGCCAAATAAAACGGAATTTGCACTTGATAAACTGTTAATGCTTTTGTGTGTGTGTTTTTAGAGAGCGCAGCTGACTCAAATGCCCAAACAGCAAAATTCCATGAAATACTCGTATATTGGTCGATTGTCAACTAATTCGAACGTGCACAAATTATATCAATATAAAATAGAAGAAGAAAATTACGTTTTTAGCTCAAGCTGGTCGACTTTTCTTCTTTTCTATTTTGTAATCAATTAAAGTACAGTCGCTGCCCAACAGCTCTATTCAATCAAACTAAATTTAATCTGGAAATCTGCATAATAATAATATATTTTCGCCCCTCACAATTAAGTTGCGCATTTGAATTTAATTTAAAATTAAATATTTCTTGAAATTCTGTTCTATATGCAAAAATGTCTATCTAAATTTAATGTCGACTTCGTGCCCGCAATAAACTTAAAAATATTTATTTTATTTTTTTGTTTAATTTTGTTGTTATGCAAATGAATTCTATTATTGAATAAGCTGACAGTTGTAGCCAATTTAAATTTAATAATGACGTCGAGTTGGCAAAAAATAAAACAAATCTTTTGTTGTGTATGTTTTTAGGCCAATAAATGCTACAATAAAAACTGAATGCATGTTCAAATTTAAATAGCATTATTACAAATTAATGGACTTTTAATTAAAATTGCAATTATTAAATAACTTGGTCAATAAAATTTGACGACTTTATTAAAAAGCATCATAAGTCAAAGAGAATATATTTTATATAAATACTGCAATAAGCTTCTGAATTTATTCATTTAATTATTTTTCCAATTTGCAAGTCAAATTTCGAATATTTATTTATGCTTTTGCGCTTACTGAAAAGCACTGCAATATTTTTTTCTTGCAGTGTAGCGGATGCCGTAACAGCTACTAAGACAACTTAGCGGCACTTGAGTGAGCGCACGATTCAATGGAATGAATGGGCAGACAGGTGGACAAACAGACCCAACGGATAAAGAAATATAGAAAGAAAGAGAGAGAGAGAGAGAGAGAGAGAGAGAGAGGGAGAGAGAGGGAGGGAGAGCAAGGAGTGATATAGAAAAGTAGGTGGATAGTGACAGCCACTGAGGCGTTCAACTTCAAAGTAGTTGCAGGAAAAGTTCTTGCTTGTCGCACGTTTGCATGCGCATAATAGGATTAGTCAAAATAATAAGTTGTTGCAGTTGTGCAGGTAACAGTATATACACATACTGTTTATATGATATATATATATATATATATATATAGATATTTATATATACATATATACACAGTGTTTTGCATTGCTTTGAAATGGAAATCTCTGCGACTCACTAAAGTTAAACTTTTGTGTGTGTGTGTATATGTGTGTGTGTGTGTGTGTGTGTGTCTGTGAGAGAGCAAGTTGAAAAACGAGGCGATATACAAAATTCATGTGAACTTTTTCGACAGCTGCCCGCAAGTATGCAACACATTTTTGTGCAAGCCAACACAAACTTAACCCGCAACTGGACCTTGACTGCACTGGGCGTTGGCCATAAACAAAATAAGCAAAAACAACAACAACAACAACAAGAACTACAAACATAAAAACAAAACAAAACAAAAAGCAGCTGTAGCTGTAGGAGGAGCAATAGCACTTCGAGTTTCCGTCAAGAGTTCGCATCTGGAGATGCTTTCAAGTGGGGAGTAATCTTCGGCTTATTGTGGTTTCGAACTTTCGCATTTCGGCCCATGTTCCACGTTCTGGCCAGCAGACTGGTGACTGTGTGCAACTTAAGTGCACGCCACACGCTTATCGGTCACAACCAAACACCAACAAATACACACACGCACACACACACACAGACACACACACAGACACGCCCACTCCAACTCAATAGCGACTTTTAGGCTTAGGAAAAGATTTTGTGCCATGGTGGACAAGGATAACTAAGTTGGTAAGTGGACTTTGAGTGACCTCTTTGTGGCGGCAACAACTGGACATATATATATATATATATATATATGTATATTCATATATATATATATGAGTATATGTGCGTATGTGTGTCAGGGGTTATTGTGTATTCAGCTTTCGTTACGGCCAAAGTTCAGCACACAATTAAATTATGCAAATCTACAGATCAGCCGCATAAAATGGAACAGCATCGGAACGGGTCAAGGCATTTGCCAGAAAGTTTCTGTTGCGGTCTTGAACCCTTCGGTATTTGTCGCACTTTTCGATATGTTAATTATAATAACTAATTCAGCAAAAATCACCATTTTATTGGGGCACACACTTTGAGTATGCAAATTGATGTGGTTGTTACTTAGTTTACAGTTTTGTTCATAATCCTTGATTTACATTTTCTTCACTACATTTAAGCTACACAGGGAATTAAAAAATTAATCAGTAGCCTAACAGCACTGCCATATGTTTATTTTGCTGTCTTGTTTAAAGTTTTCTCTTAACAAACCCATAAAATAGCTATAAACTTGTAAGTCATACAGTATCCATAAATTTCAAATACAATTAGGAAAATAACTTAATTAACGCTTGTTTTATAACTTTAAGAAAACTCATCTAAAATTCGCTAACTCATTTCTTATTATCAGTGGGTCTTTAATAAACGACTCTGTAGTATCAAAAACCAAATGACAAGGATAACTGGCAAGGAGCACGCCTGCTGGCGTGTGTGAGTGTCTCTGTGTGTGTGTGTGAGTGGATGGGGGTGTAAGTGTGTGTATGACTAAGACCAAAACCCCAAATAACTGCTTAATTTGTTTTTTCATCCAGATGTTTTGGCCATCCACTCAAAGCGACCCAAGTCGCCTGCGACCCTTTCTGACCACCTTTTCCGTTCTGAGTGTTTTTGTTGTTGGTCCTGCTGTTTGTATAGCCAACAGCATCGGCTGTTGTTGCTTTTGCACTTGTTGTTGTTAGTTTATTGGCTTTAGCAGAGTAACATAGAAAGACAGCAATAGAACGAGAGCGAGAGAGAGAGAGAGAAGCTGAACCCAAACCAGCCAGACACCAAAAATTGTCTGCTAGTTGCAAAAAAAAGAATAACAAGAAAAAAGAGTTGAACATTTGGATTTGGATACGGATGTTGATTGGGAAATTGGGTATAGGAAACAGTGGAAACAGTGTCTGTTAAGGAGAGAAAAATAAGTATGAACAGTATCAAATTCAGGCAGCCAAAAATTATTTGCCATTCTCATATTTTCATATTTTCATATTTTGGGGCACGACAGCGTGTTTATGCCTAAATCAATTTGCTGCATGAATGAGTCTTAAGCGTGAGGGATTTTTGCGTGGCATCCAAAGCCGGTCACACTTTGTTCTAATCCCCCCAGACAGACAGGCAGGCAGCGCGTGTGTGTCTCTGTGTGTGTGTGTGTGTTTGGGTTAAGCTATTAGACTAAAAGGTTATTAGGCAGGAGAAGGATGTGCATGGGGTGGGGGCGCCTGCTGCCTGTCGACGTGATTTGCCTGTCAAAAGGACGCCTCGAGTGGTGCCAAGTTGCAGAGTGGATTTTGCACTTTGATATGCGTTTTATTAATAAAACAAATTGCCAGGGCATACGACTATAATTTTAGCTCACTCTGTTTCCAGCCATCATGCATAAATTGAGTTTATTTTCATTTGGTTGATGCTGCTGCGATGTTCGCTGAGGACGACGTGATGCCTCACCAGCCGGATACTCTGGGCAGTGTGCCAAGCCGCAGGCATCAAGCATTAAGCATCAAGCGGCAGCAGGCACGAGGCGGCATGCAACACACGTCAACTATTTTTCAACAAATATGCGCAAAACTTTTTTTTTGCATATTAAAGCCACAGACAGGAGCAGCAAAGCTGAAGGGATTTGTTGGTAAGAGTGGGAGCAGGCGGAAGCTGACCATAAGCTGACACAGGCTGCATTTTTTGGCATATGCAAAAGAGGGCTCCAGCAATACGTGCTGCACGTGCCACACACACACACACACACACACACTCACACACACACACTCACATACATACATGCAACAACAATAAAATGATGGGCGGGGCGTGACCATTTTTCCAATACGAAAATGCCACAAATCATATTTTAATCGCGACACATAAATCAAAAGATGCATTTTGGGGGCGTATAGGTGCCACCAAAAAAGTGTGGCATGATCTCAAGCATTAGCGGTAGATGTTATTGTTGCACTTGACATAATGGCCACGAAAACCATTCTGTGAAACAATTTCTTCAGCTCTGTTTTACATGCAAACTTTGGCAGAAAAAACTGTCAAATCTGTTTGGGTTTTTCATTGGTAAGCAAAACAGTGATTTTTGCTTGTAATTTTTTATATTCTGACTTTCTTTTCAACCGCTAAAGTTTGTACAAATATTATTGATAGTTTTGCCACGCAGTGGTTTTATTTATTATATCCAAGCACTGCTGTGGCAAGTGAAAAATGTTACAGAGAAGTGTGTATGAAATCAGAAGCGATTAAGTTAAAACTCAATGAAATAAACTACGCAAAATTAAAGCGAAAATTGAAAATAAACGAAATTTTAAATGAACTTTAGCCACAGCAAAGTGTAATCTCAATTAAGCTGTTTATGGCCGTTAAAGCTATTATTGTTTAAACTGTTATGCAAAAACCAATTAAAGCATGATTGATAAAATCCTAATCAATAATAAGTTTTGGTGTGGAGTGAAAATTTGACTATTTGTGCCGGATTCGGCTTAATATGCTTGCAATAATAATAATTTAGTGAAAATTACTTTGGCCGCAAAAACCATAAATCAGAAATCAAATTCAGGCTCAGGTTCGGACTCAATAACACCTGCTGCTGTTGCCAACAAGAGAGATGATCTTGGATTTGACATGTTAACAATACGCTTAACGCATCTGGTGCGTGTTCTGGCCAGTTTTTGGGGATTATTCAATTGTTATCGAATTGCCTGAGCTGGTCACGTTGCATGGCAAATATTTGCTTCTCATTTGGTTAACACAGCACACCAACACACGCATACACACACTGTATCTGTAAATTGATTATTGCTAGCCAAGGCCGAGACAGAGAAAGAGAGAGTGGAAGAGCAAAAAATATGAAGGAGAATGCGAAACCCACAAAGGCTGTACACAACTTGCAGCATACAATCTCCATACTCTGCGTAACATGAAGCACAGCAGAGAAGTTTTTGTGATAAAAACGACCTCATCCACATCCCCATCCACAGCCTTGTTGTCGACTGTTAATGTGTCTGTCAGCGCAAAAAGATTCGCCACATTCGCGACCTGCCTTCAGCTACCCAGCAGAGTCACATCTACAGTTTCTGCGATGATTACACAAAATTGAATGCTGCACACACACACATACACACTCGGATGTAAATATCTGTGTGTGTGTGTGTGTGTGTCAATTTGGGTGTTGAAAAGTGGTCTCCACTGTCAGCGGTTTGGTTTGGGTTTTTGGTATGCTTCTCGGCTTCATCATCAACGTCGTCTCTTGTCGCGATACATTGTATACCAAACAACTATGAGTGTATGTGTGTGTGTGTGTGTGTGTGTGTGTGTGTGTGTGTAAATTCCGTGTGTATTATTTATACGAGTCGTCGTCTCCTCTTCATATTCAACATGATCATCATAGCCGTCCTCTCTTTGCCTGTGCTCCGACATGGCAGCCATGCAAAGCCCTCTAAATCCGGTTCATTTTCGTCTTTTTTCTCTTGTTCTTTTTTCTTTTTTTGTTTTTGTTGTCGATGCCGCATATTGGGCGTAACCATCGCCCCCACCATTTGCCTAACGTGCCACATTCAAATTCAATAGTCGCCAACTGCTGCTGCTAAGAAAGCTTGCTGGCAGATACATTTGCCTGGCCCAGGCGTAGATAAGCCAGCTGTCTCCCCAAATGGGAAGTGAATGACGAATGCCGCCACTAAACGAACCGTTAATAGTTGGCCCAAAGTAGCTAGCAGCATTTTTAGAACTAGGCTAGAAAATGCAATTTCCAATAGATTTCAAACTTGGCACTGTCAGAAAATTATGCAATGTTAATTGATTTTAGATGAATATTTAAATGCAAAAATCAATCAAAAATTCACGTTAAAACTGTATCCCAAAAAAAACATTTCCCTAACCTTTTTTTTTGCCAAAATAAACCGATTTTTGGATTAGAACTCTTTTTTTTAAATAAACTTATTTTTGGCTTGATTTTAAGTAGCCAGAAAAACACTGCATTTTAATTTAAAAACTTGATTTCCTGGGAAAAATTATGCGAATTTACTTCTTCCATAAAAATCAAATCGATTTTTGGCTTAAAACTTTTTTTTTTTTAAGAATTCATGACAATGTGCCCAGAGAGTCCTTATGCTTTTAAAAAAACGCAACTCACTGTGCACTTTGACATAGTGGAAGGACAAACTTCAGACGCGTACGTATTTATCGAAATATGCAGCTGTCGACAGCAGAAAGTTAACCAATATTCGCCTACTTCAAAGTATCCAGCATGTGCAGGTCCTTTGTTCAAGAGTTTAGCGGATATAAGTACACAGTAATACACAGTTTGCCTTGCAGTCTTTTTTGGGTGAAGAAGCACACAACTTGTTCGCTGCTTGTCGATTAGAGAGAGAGAGAGTAAAGCGCTGTGGCACACAACAGCCGACCATGTTGTGTGTGCATGTGGAATGACATATAAATAAACAAGTGTGCGAAAAACTCACCTCAAATGTTGTGAACACGATTTTCTCAATTGAGCCAAAGTAGCGTTCCCACAGGACCTGTGTTTGTTGGCGCAATGCAAAGATGCGTTCCGCTGAAATGGAGCGAACAATGTCGGGCACCTGCAATAAGAGTGAGAGAAGTTCCATGAGTTGCATACATTTACATATATTGTGTTTGTTAACATTGCGTATGTGGAATATTAGTTTAACGACTGCTGCAGCTGCAGCTGCGTCAGCTGCAAATCCCAAGCACAATGCATTAATTACAATGGCCCCAAAAACAACTTGATGCAGCAGCAGCAGCAGGCAGGCAGCCAGGCAGGCAGGCACGTTGGTAGGTAATTAGTTAGGGAATGTGCCCGCAGGATATACATCATAGTTAGGCATAACACACACTCACACACTCCAACAGAGGGAGAAAGAGAGAGAGAATTCAATAAATGCAGCAGCTTCAAATTGCAACTATTTGAAGAGTGCGGCATGAGTGCTTCTAGTGCTCAAGTTTCCTGCTCAAGTTAACTTAATTAATTGCATTTCCTGCCAATAAACTACAAAAGCAAACATGCCAACGATGAAGTCGAAAGGCTGTCGTTCTCAGTGCGGAAGCGTCGTGGAGAGCGGCAGGTTGGACAATGCAATTGGCAAACAATGCGACAAGACTTTGTCGCGAATGAAGACAAGAGAGACAGAGCGAGAGAGAGAGGGCGACAGAGTGAGAGTGAGACAGAGGAGAAGGGAACAGGAATCGCACAGAGGAACACTAGCAATAGCCGTAGAACAAGGCAGCAAGAGGACATTGCGTGCAAACAATTGCCAAGAAGCGAGGACAAGGCACACACAGACTGACAGTGAAATGGATGGGGCCAAAGTGTTTTCTGTTTTTGTAGCTAGGTGAGCAATCGGACAGATGGGACCCGACACTTTGGCAAGGCGGGGGAGGACATGCCATAAAGGCAATCTCAGCGTGCATCGTAACTATTCATTTTTCATGCATCGAATGGCAAATGGCTGGCATTTTTTGTGACTGCAAAGCGATCCAATTATTTTATTGCATTTATCCAAACAAGTTTGGTTATTGTGCTATTTTTTAATCAGTTTAATAATATTTATTGAATTTGAGATGCTTTATTTGAAATGGAAAAATATTTTGCTGAGTGAACTGTCCAAGCAAGCAGAAAAAATGTGTGTCACACATTTCTGTGCAGCTTTCATGCACATTAAATCATCAATAAATGACAGAAACTCACTCCAGGAGACCTGCCGGCACAGCAGAACAGATAGCACAGGACAACGCAGAATTCCCATTGCGGATTTAGGTTAGCCGGGGAAAATAACAAAAACTTTCAGGCATACAGAATGGGTCGCATTTTTAACCCATTGCAACCCATTTTCATAGTTTATGATTGCATAAACAGACAAAAAAAAAAACAAACAAACAAACAAACTGATGTGGCATTTCATAGTATAAGCTATATATAAAGGAGGCAGAGATGTTTGTGTGTGTGTGTGTGTGTGTGTATATAGTTAATGCCTTTGGTCAACTCACCTGCAGTAGCAGCCGTTCATCGGCCCAAATGGCAGCCTGTTTCCAATCGATTTTCGACTCAAATGGCAATACCCAGGCATTGGACAATAGCACAGGAATGCAGCCCGCTTGCAATGCTTCGAGAAATCTATAAAAATGAATAAAAAAACAAAAAAAACAATCAGCATAAAGTAAAATACGCAAGATATGTATGTATATATGAAGGGAAACTAAATGGGAATGAGCTGTAAAATGAAAATAGTTTTTTTTTACTTTTTTTTTTAATTTTTTTTTTTTTTTGCTTACCTGAAGGAGCCCAAGCGACGTCCGCGTGGCACCAAACAAAACGTTGAATTCTGCAGCAGTGTCTCGTAGTCGTATCTGAAGCGAAAAAAAAAGAGGCGAGAAAAAGGTCAGCAAATAAATGGAGTGAGTGAGAGCAAATGCGACAGACGGGTGTGTGGCACGGGTGGCACAACGAAGAGGATGGAAATTAGTAAGGGCCATGGCATAGCATAATGGCATTGTGCAGCAATTAATTGAACAATGGACTTGTCGCTCTTGGACGTTCAGATGGGAGGTGACAACCTGGTTTTGTGTTTGGCCCCGGGTAGAATGGAAGATTGCATAGTTGATAAATTGCATCAATCATTCAAATAACCAACAGGATTTGCAGTAGACTTTTAAGAGTATAGTTTAAGGTTAGAAGCAACAATAATAAACTATATCATAAGTTATCCACTTCTAAAATCAAAATCTTACTTCAACTTTATGCAGATCGCTGATACACTCACATAAATTGACCGCACATCAGTGTTCTATTATTAATTAACTTAGCTAGCTGCTTAAAAGCATTGACTTTATGCGTATATAATAGTTCATTGTTTATAGTAATTGCCAACAGCAAATAGCGATAAATATGCACTTAAAGGTGATTTATTTTAATAACAACTTAAGTGCATGTTGATGCCTCCTCCCCCAGCATGCATACATATTAATCTTTTGAAAGCCAATTGAGAGGCTCACACCGCTGCTGCTTCTTAACATAATGATAATGGTTCAATTCCGTCTTAATCGCCAGTATCAAACAGCAAAGTCCTCAAACCACATAGGCAATGCGGCGTATGCTTTATATTCATGAGCATAACTCATAAACACACACACACACACACACACACACATAAATCGAATACACACACACACACACAAATTCAATTCAACAATTTAACCATTGAATGCAAGTGGACAATACCGCAATCCGTGCTTGTTGCTGATTTAAGCTTTAATGACTGATCAAAGCAAGCAAGCAGGCTGCATACTAAGCATACGCCATGTAGCTCAAACATTTGTGCACATTCAAGCAGGTGCTTTCCGATCTCCCCCTTCTTCCCGCTCTCTCTCTAACCCCCTTTCTCTCACTCTCTATCTCTCTCTCTCTCTCTCTAATCACCCCCCTTTAACAAGTTAAGTTGCGCGTAAAATTACATGTAGTGAGGCATGTTGGCACGCCCACACCGCCCTACGATTGAAAACAGTCCAACTCTGGTCAGCAATTTGAGCAGCTACCAGCATTTAAAGCAAATTCAGCAGAAATTGTATTTAGAAAAGTGCAGTCACAGCGTATTCGCATTGCATTGACAATGGCAAACATTACGGACAGCAGCAGATGGGCGAGGGATGGCAATCAGCATCAGGGGTTGTTCTAAGGGGGCGAATGGCCAATGAGCGTCTGTCTGTGTTTGTTGCCGTAGGCATGGCTTATGAATATTCTTAAGTAAACAACATAAATTGCATGTTGCTTGTGTTTCGACCGTTGAAAAATTACATTTTCAAATGCATGCCGCCCAGCCGAATAGCCGCCCAAACGCCCACTTGCCCGCCAATGGCCAAAAAGTCATTTGTAAGCAACAGACACAGGAATGTGCAGCTCACTGGGGAATGCCGACAATGGAATGCCCTGGCAAATTAATTTAGTAAAACGGAAAAGAGATTTGCAAACGGGCTGCAAATATGAAAGAACGAAAGCAAAGAGAAACTCTTTGACTGTCTTGAATTATACTTTGTGGAAAAGAAAATGCTAAGCTTTGAATTTCATTTAACTTCATCAGAAATAAAATTGGATTGGACATTAAACAAACTAAATATCTTTCCTCGCATACTCTTCACGAATATGCCCCAAATTTATCAACTGTAGTTAAGCTCATATTTAACTTATTCCGTTGCTGTCTTGCTCGTGCTCTGACGCTGTGAATAATATATCATCTGGCTGCTTTGGATTATGGATCATTTGAGAAAATTGCTTGCATTCATTTTTGTTGGCTTGAAATATATTTAACGTACTTGTTGGCCAAAAAGCACGCGCTGCATTCGAATTTTTGCGGTATTTTCGCTTTCCCAATTTTTCTATTTCGTGTGCAAAGTGAACAAATTGCAAACCTTGGTATTCATCACACGTGTGTGGCTCTGTGCTGTTATTTATTGGTGTGGGCCGCGCCCTAAGTGCCTCCCTAATTAGTCAGTGATATGCCGCCTTCGTCTATATATGCATTTATCTAAGAGTACTACAGGTCACAGGTCCACAGGTCACTGCACCCCACCAGCTGCACCAAACCACATTCTCACTTTCCGTTTGGCAATGTACTTGTTAGCTACTTGTTTAAGCAATTAAGAGTCGCTAACAGTACATCATGCTGTATTTGTTGCTAGTTTTGATATTTTGTTGTTGTTGTTGTTGTTGTTGTGGTTGTTGTTTGGTTGCTCGTCGTGCTCAACTTTAATTAAATGATTTTTAGCTTTAGCAAGTTGAGCGAATAGTTTAGTTTAGCAGAGTTCTCTGTTTAGCGCTGTTCCCTCTCATTCTGCTTAGTTTAATTCGGTTCTGGCCATGTCCGAGCATCATGCGAGCAAAACTTTTACTATTCACATTGTTCCTGTGGCCAAAGTTCGCTGCCCATTTTAGTTGATGCCCCAACGTGGCAGCCACTTCATTAGCCGATCAGGCTCCAAGGCGTCTATGAAGGCTGCAATTCGGTGTTAAATACGCTTTACTTCTTTGAGCTGCAGCTGATTCAGCTCTTAGAGGGAAAAGTTCTTCATTCAATACCCCGGTCGTGCATTCATAAAATGGACAGCTCATTAATTATCTATTGATAATTTATCAGAGATTTAACACAGAGTTTTAAATTTAGAGTTAGTTAACGTATTTAAGCTTAAAGTAAAATTCACTTCAAGTCTTTTAACCACATACAACCAAACATGTTTCTCAATTACTAAAAATTTCTGTTTTAAGAGAGAATATTTTGTGTGTGAATTCCACATATTTTTATGAGAAATTATGTACATACATGTGAATAAATATTTATTGATATGTATGCAGGGGAACACAGGAATAAAAAGACGTACAATGCCAGTTAAATTTTATGGCTCCTAAAAGTAGGCAGCAAGAAAGGAATTACTCTTAAACCCATTGGAAATTGGGACTTTAACCAAGCTTAAGCAAGTCAGCTGAATCCTCATTTCGTTTTAATTTTTATAACGCCCATAAGCTAAGCAGCTGCCTTACAATTTAATTATTTAACATTAACTTGAAGAATTTTAATTGAATGTTATTTTGCTTAGCTCAAAGCTGAATCATTATTAAAACGTTGAAATGTTTTCACATCAAAATACTTTTTCTTCAATTAGTTTTAAGATTAATTAATTTGCCATTTAACTGCACTTGACATTAAATCAAATATTTTGCGGTACCTGTTGCCCAGCACTGACCAACCACACTAGCTCACATACATATGTAAACACACACACACACCCACATGCCCCGTAATTAATTTACCAACACTTTGCATAACATTTCAAGTCAGATTGCAAAAGCAGGCCACAACCAACACACTCACAAACACACACACACAGACGTCAACACGAGCTGGGTTGGTGTCAATTGCTTTACTTTACTTTATGCCAAGGCCAACAAAATTAACATAAGTAGTGGCAGCGAGCAACAGCAGTAGGAGCAGCTACAGCTCCTACAGCTCTAACCCAATCTCCACCCCAGTTGTTAGTCCAGTTTGTTCTGGTGGCTGCACAGCGGGCACATAATTTAAGTGGTTTCCAGCTGTCAAAGGTGGCTCTTAGTCGGGCGTCAGGTATGATAATTTGCTTCCTCTTTCGCTTCAACTTTCCTTCGCTCTTTTTGTTTAGCTGGAATGGAACTAAGCTCAGTGACTGACAAAACGACCCCAGTTCCTATTTAACTGACTGACTGACGGGCTGGCTTACGTTATGGTTTTAGTAGTGCAAAAAGGACAAGTCCTTTTGTCCTCGGACAACCCAGCCGTTATATTTTGGCAGGGAAAGAATCAAACATGCAAACAAAAGTAAGTGAAAGCATTGCAGTCGGGCACTACCACTTGCAGAATACTCTGAAACCATTGAAATAACAGCTTTAATTTGGTTACTTTAACTTTAAGTCCAAGATTTTTTGATTTAAGCGAAATATTAAAGAAGCAAACGCGATTTTAGCTCGAAATTCATGCAAAAAGTATGCCCCAAAAAGTGATTTAGGATGAAACACAAACTTTCCAGAGCCATAACTTTGTCAAAAATTATCTAATTTTCAAACCAGGTCTAGAATAATACTACATTCAAAGTTGGAAACGTGATTATAGCTAGAAATGCATGTTAAAATTATAACATCATCATGGTTTAATCTTTAATCAGTGCTACATTTAAACCTGACAAGGGTATTATGCCAAAAACGCTTTCACAGACGGGTCAAATAATCAATATTTCAAAACCCATAACATTCTCAAAAATAATACGTTATTTAAAAACCCTTAAACAACAAGTAGAAACGCTGAAGAGTATTTCAGAATTCAGAGCTACAGCTTATAAAATGTTTAATGATACTTTAACAACAACTGTAAAGTCTTAGAAATGACAACTTTCACAATAAAGTGCACTTATTTTTGTGCAATTCAAAAACCCCTGAGCGCATTATGAACAGATTAAATGAAGCGGCCATAATAGAAGACAAAATTAGAAAACTTTCTAACCATGTGCAACGCAGAAAAGAAAACAATCAAATTGCCAAATAAAAGACTTGGAATTGCATACGTTTAGAATGAGAAATCATCAAAGGCAATTGGTGTCGACTCATTTGAGGGGTCTTTGAATCAAAGATATAAGAGTTTCAATTCTAGCAAACATTTTCAAAGACTCTGATTGTGTTTTTTTGGCTGTTATGGCTGCTTTTGTATGTGCTGCGTGTGTATCGTATTTTGCTTTGTCATCGCTTTGGCTTTGTGCGTCAATCTGACACGCAAATTGCATGTCGGTCGGGCCATATTGAAACTGAAACGCGAGTTGCTCCGACTTAGGCCGAA